GGTTGAGATCCCCACCCCAAAACTATATATACAAATGCTTGGCAAAAAGAGACAAATGCAGTCACGATATTAGAATCAATCCTGGGGTCTGGCCACAACTCTAGGGACCTAGTTTCTGAGTCAAAGCTTGGAAACAGTTGAGATCCCCACCCCATAACCATACATAAAATTGCTGGGCATGAACAATCTAATATAGCTATGCTACAAGGATTGGCCTTGGGGTCTGGCATATTCCCTTGATCTCATTTGGAGAATAGTTTGCCATGATTGCTTAGGTATCCAGGTGAGCGATACAGGCCCTCTGGGCCTCTTGTATTACCACCCCATACCTATTTTATATTACCACCCCATACCTATTTTATATTCCCACCCCATACCTATTTTATATTACCACCCCATACCTATTTTATATTACCACCCCATACCTATTTTATATTACCACCCCACACCTATTTTATATTACCACCCATACCTATTTTATATTACCACCCCATACCTATTTAATATTAACAACCCATACCTATTTTATATTACCACCCCATACCTATTTTATATTACCACCCCATACCTATTTTATATTACCTCCCCATACCTATTTTATATTCCCACCCCATACCTACTTTATATTCCCACCCCATACCTATTTTACACTTCTGTGTACATACGCTTCACTGGTCATTTGTCTGATGAAGGTGACAGGGTACATAACATAAAACTCATCAGAATGTCGCACAGAAACATGTCACTGGCTGTGCTACATAAACCTTTCTACAATCAAAATTTACCAACCCATAGAAAATGTTTAGAAATTTCATGATTGATGTTTTTCTAACCAACTGAATTTAACACTCCTAAATAGGACCTATTCAATTCACCAATCATTCAACTTGAAAAACACCAACTCAATTCACCAAACATTTAACTTGAGTAATACCTATTAAATTCACCAACCATTTAACTTGAATAAGACCTATTCATTTCACCAACCATTAAACTTGAATAAGACCTATTCATTTCACCAACCATTAAACTTGAATAAGACCTATTCAATTCGCCACCCTTGGACGACTTGAAAGATACAAAACAGTAAAGACTATAGGCAGTAGTATTAAAGCAGGATGTTAACTGTCAATTTTATGACCCATAATGAATTGGTGCAGGGCATGTAGTTTAATACCCTGTTACATCCATATGTCCAGACTTTTTTGTGTTTAGGTCAGTAATGGAGTAAGTAAAGCAGCGAGTCGATCGCACAATTTCAGATGCTAATGCACCTTAATGAGTACAGCATGTTACATAAATATATCAGTCAGATAAGGTTGGTCTGTTATATATAGGTCTCTACTTGTATTGAAAGCTTGTGATATTAAGACATTGTGTTTACTGTTGTTTTTATATTGCAGACCTGTAAGGATGAACATGGAGTTTCATACAAACATGGAAACCATAGGTAAAAGATTTCCATATATGGCAAACTACCAGGTAAGTAAAAGATTTCCATATATGGCAAACTACCAGGTAAGTAAAAGGTTTCCATATATATGACAAACTACCAGCTAGGTAGGTAATAGATTTCCATATATGACAAACTACCAGGTTGGTAAAAGATTTCCATATATGGCAAACTACCAGGTAAGTAAAAGGTTTCCATATATATGACAAACTACCAGCTAGGTAAGTAAAAGGTTTCCATATATGACAAACTACCAGGTAGGTAATAGATTTCCATATATGACAAACTACTAGGTAGGTAATAGATTTCCATATATGACAAACTACCAGGTAGGTAATAGATTTCCATATATGACAAACTACCAGGTAAGTAAAAGATTTCCATATATGGCAAACTACTAGGTAATAGAATTCCATGTGTAGTAAACCACATTGTGTTTGGTCTCTTTATCTCATTTTACGACATTCATTTAATTTCCCCAAATTATTAGCTGCAGGAGTCACTTTCTGAAAATCAACTACAGGTTACTTTCATATAAACAGTTCATTTAGATTCTTATACCTGATGGAGAATATCGTCATAGAGTTTGCCATCAGGATACAAGTTGAAAAAGATCCACTGAATGAAATCAAATCATATTTGTGCGATGATAGAGTCTTGTATTTCGATTTGTGTTAAGGAAACATCTTATATCCTGATTTGTGTAAAGATAGAATCTTACTTCCAAATTGTAGGTAGGGTGATCACCTACTGTATTAGTGATTGCTCCGCATTGTTGGTAGGATGTTCTGACACTCTACTGTGAGTGATTGCTCCACATTGTTGGTAGGATGTTCTGATACTTTACTGTGAGGGATTGCTCCACATTGTTGGTGGGATGTTCTGATACCTTACTGTATTAGTGATTGCTCCGCATTGTTGGTAGTATTTTCTGACTCTCTACTGTGAGTGATTGCTCCAAATTGTTGGTAGGATGTTATGATACTTTACTGTGAGAGATTGCTCCACATTGTTGGTGGGATGTTCTGATACCTTACTGTATTAGTGATTGCTCCGCATTGTTGGTAGGATGTTGTGATAGTTTACTGTGAGTGATTGCACCACATTGTTGGTAGGAGGTTCTGATACTTTACTGTATTAGTGATTGCTCCACATTGTTGGTAGGTTACTCTGATACTTCACTGTGAGTGATTGCTCCACATTGTTGGTAGGATGTTCTGATACTTTACTGTGAGTGATTGCTCCTCATTGTTGGTAGGATGTTCTGATACTTTACTGTGGGTGATTGCTCCACATTGTTGGTAGGATGTTCTTATACTTTACTGTGAGTGATTGCTCCACATTGCAGGTAGGATGTTCTGATACCTTACTGTGAGTGATTGCTCCACATTATAGGTGGGCTGTTCTGATACCTTACTGTGAGTGATTGCTCCATATTGCTCCACATTGTAGGTGGGCTGTTCTGATACCTTACTGTGAGTGATTGTTCCACATTGTTGGTAGGATGATCTGATACCTTACTGTGAGTGATTGCTCCACATTATAGGTGGGCTGTTCTGAAACTGGTGTCCTGAATGGAGTGAAGATAACATATTACGCTGATTTCTGATACCTTACTGTGAGTGATTGCTCCCCATTGTTGGTAGGATGTTCTGATACTTTTTTGTGGGTGGTTGCTACACATTTTAGGTGGGCTGTTCTGATACCTTACTGTGTTCTGATACTTTACTGTGAGTGATTGATCCACATTATAGGTGGGCCGTTCTGATACCTTACTGTGAGTGATTGTTCCCAATTGTTGGTAGGATGATCTGATACCTTACTGTGTGTGATTGCTCCACATTGTTGGTAGGATGTTATGATACTTTACTGTGAGTGATTGCTCCACAACTGTGAGTGATTGTTCCACATTGTTGCTAGGATGATCTGATACCTTACTGTGAGTGATTGCTCCACATTATAGATGGGCTGTTCTGATACTTTACTGTGAGTGATTGTTCCACATTGTTGCTAGGATGATCTGATACCTTACTGTGAGTGATTGCTCCACATTGTAGGTGGGCTGTTCTGATACCTTTCTGTGAGTGATTGCTCCATATTGCTCCACATTGTAGGTGGGCTGTTCTGATACCTTTCTGTGAGTGATTGTTCCACATTGTTGGTAGGATGATCTGATACCTTACTGTGAGTGATTGCTCCGCATTGTTGGTAGGATGTTCTGATACCTTACTGTGATTGATTGCTCCACATTATAGGTGGGCTGTTCTGACACTGGTGTCCTGAATGGAGGGAAGATAACATATTACGCTGATTGTGGATGCCTCCCATCGGACCATGCACTACCAGTGGTAACACTATTTGCTGACAATGGTAAGTCACACATTGTTGGTAGGATGCTCTGATACCTTACTGTGAGTGATTGCTCCATATTGCTCCACATTGTAGGTGGGCTCTTCTGATACCTTACTGTGAGTGATTGTTCCCAATTGTTGGTAGGATGATCTGATACCTTACTGTGAGTGATTGCTCCGCATTGTTGGTAGGATGTTCTGATACCTCACTGTGAGTGATTGCTCCACATTATAGATGGGCTGTTCTGATACTTTACTGTGAGTGATTGATCCACATTGTTGGTAGGATGTTCTGATACATTACTGTGAGTGATTGCTCCACATTGTTGAAAGGATGTTCTGATACCTTACTGTGAGTGATTGCTCCACATTGTAGGTGGGCTGTTCTGATGCCTTACTGTGAGTGATTGTTCCACATTGTTGCTAGGATGATCTGATACCTTACTGTGAGTGATTGCTCCATATTGCTCCACATTGTAGGTGGGCTGTTCTGATACCTTTCTGTGAGTGATTGCTCCATATTGCTCCACATTGTAGGTGGGCTGTTCTGATACCTTGCTGTGAGTGATTGTTCCACATTGTTGGTAGGATGATCTGATACCTTACTGTGAGTGATTGCTCCACATTGTAGGTGGGCTGTTCTGATACCTTTCTGTGAGTGATTGTTCCACATTGTTGGTAGGATGATCTGATACCTTACTGTGTGTGATTGCTCCACATTGTTGGTAGGATATTCTGACATTTTACTGTGAGTGATTGCTCCACATTGGTGGTAGGATGTTCTGATACTTTACTGTGAGGGATTGCTCCACATTGTTGGTAGGATGTTATGATACTTTACTGTGAGTGATTGCTCCACATTGCTGGTAGGATGTTCTGATACTTTACTGTGCGTGATTGCTCCACATTATAGGTGGGCTGTTCTGATACCTTACTGTGTTCTGATACTTTACTGTGAGTGATTGCGCCACATTGTTGGTAGGATGCTCTGATACTTTACTGTGAGTGATTGCTTCACATTGTTGGTAGGATGTTCTGATACATTACTGTGAGTGATTGCTCCACATTGTTGGTTGGATGTTCTGATACTTTACTGTGAGTGATTGTTCCACATTGTTGCTAGGATGATCTGATACCTTACTGTGAGTGATTGCTCCACATTATAGGTGGGCTGTTCTGACACTGGTGTCCTGAATGGAGTGAAGATAACATATTACGCTGATTGTGGATACCTCCCATCGGACCATGCACTACCAGTGGTAACACTATTTGCTGACAATGGTAAGTCAACATTTTAGCACAGTGTATACATCTCATTCTACAATGTTCAAATGTAGAGCCTGATATTTAAGACTGAACATTTTTACAATAACACCTGGGCAGTGAATAAAACCTTAATTAGTACACACAAGGACTATTGATAGTTAACTGCCCATTCAATCTGATGATTTTGAGGGGGGGGGGGGCACACTTAATATTTCTGTCCTGATTCATTGTCATAACCCCCTGGTGTCCTGATTCATTGTCATAACCCCCTAGGGACTTCATTTTTGAGGTCAACTTTGAGTATGTCTCAGATGAGTTCATATTTTATGGGTTCTAGATTGAGGCCAATGTCACTATTGCTATTTTTAGCAAATTGTTAACCAATTCAGTGTGCTCACGTGACTATGTGACTTCATTTCTTAACCAATTTTGACCAAACTGTCCCAGTAGTGAATAATCTACAGCTAGTTGCTTGATACTGTTCTGTGAAGTTGGAACTACCATTTTAGATGGAGCGCTAGAATAAACGTACATGTATTCTGTAGTCCTGGGTTGGACTCCAAGTGGAGGCATTACATGGTGAGACTGGGCCCTAGAGTCAAATTGGCTAAAAGTTCAAAGATCTTCTTCAGACCAAGATACGTTAGAACCAAATGTTCTTCTTGGATGAAAATTCCCTGAGGTGAACTCTCGTGAACTCTCATTACCTCATGTTCATCCATTCCTACTGTTACCAGGGTTCACAATCATCACAATAGATCTGTTTGTATACGTTTATTATTCCATTAAAAACCCTGTTGACAAAACAAATACAACATATAAATGTTACATGCAACCTCACATATCTCACATACTTGCATACATAACATAGTAAAAGGGAAATAACTCTATTGACAAATGCTATGATATAACATTATCTATTTTATCAAATGTACAAAGACAATGATATTTATTAATATAATAATTTCTATATCTATTACTTGAAAATAGGTATTCAGTTATCTATTTCAGAAGGTTATAAATTCATTCTTTACATAATTACATAAATATCATTACTATCAAACCTATTCTTTTACTCATACACACTAGATAAAAACATAGAAATATACACATGAAAAACATTCTAGACCTTTCAAACTCAGATGGATCCTATACGCATATATCGGCCCTAAAACCTATATCAATAATGCTAGTAACAAATCAATCTACAATTGTTAATCGGATTACCTCTAATTGGTGAAAAAAAATTTGAAAAAAACACATCCAATCCGGAAAAACAACCCGCCTCCGTTGACTTAATTGTATTTCATTACAATCGCTTGTTACGTAATGTATGTTTATTAACGACATGCTAACCAATCTTACCTTGTATGGAATTTGAACTCGTGAGCTTTTTCCCATCTTTTTGACAGGATATCGATATCCACCTTCACTTTAGTAAGACGAATATCGACCTTGCTTGTATTCCCGATATCAGGGGTAACAACAGTCAAACTGATCAAAACTGTGTTCGGTCGGTCCGACATTACTAATACTAATAGCCGTTTTAGACTCATCAATGCTTGAGTTAATGTCGCAAGAGGATGTTGTTTCATGTGTACCTACAGCTGCTTTGAAGAAGTCATGCATCAACTTGTTCTTAGAAGATGATGCAGGTTTTTTGTTGGCATTGTAGCCATGTTTCCGATGTTGACAACTTAAAAATACTAATAATAAAATCAGCACCAGATACCCTAGGTTCCCAATACGTACTGATTGTCCACTGTCAGTTATACAGTTAAATTTAATATATTTTTCAATTGAACCACACATCATTTAATCACTATTCTGGACTAAGAAAAAAAAATACAAAAAAATAATATAATATAATAGTACATTTGAATTTTTAAAGTTGGTTAGATTTATTATCATAGAATGTGTGAAATTTAACCCTTTCACCCCTATGTAACTTTATTTATCTCTTCCATGCATTGATCTTGATGAGACTATTATGGTCTACATTGGTGAAAGGGTTAAGACTCTGACCTGATCTCTGGGTGCCTGGGAGGGTTCTCAACTTTGAAAATTGACTAAAAGTAGTGAAAAAAAAGTCTTCTTCGCACCAAAATATGCTAGAATTAAATACTAAAATTAACACTAATGGGTTTATTTGTTTCTGTTAGTAGAAATTAATTCAAACTAGGGTAATTAAGTTTTGTTGATGGGATTGCAGTTTGAAGGTACAAGAAAAGTGAGGGAAAAAAGAGTTTTTCCCAAAGATACCATTATGAGGCTTGAGGCATATTGTAATTCCATAAAATCCACATTCTATAACTGGTACTGGAGATTAGAGAGAAGACTTGCACCTGTATTGTCGTTGTCGGTTTTCTGACAGTTACCAGCTATGATATAATATATACAAGTGTATATGTATCTCTGTTCGTCATTTCCTACCATCGTTTTGTTGGTCAATGCACAGTTAAAAAACCATATTTTCTTTTTTAATGTTTTATTTTGCATTGCCATGCATGTCACAACAATAAAAACAACCAACGATTCTGTTATTTGACCATCACCTGATGGTGGGCTATTCAAATCGACCTGCGTCCGTGGTCCGTCCGTGGTCCGTTGTCCGCTGTCCGACGTTCGTCCTTAAACAATTCTTGTCATAGCTATTTCTCAAGAAGTACCTAAGGGATCTTTCTCAAATTTTATATGTGGGTTCCCCTTGGTCCTAAGCTGTGCAGGGCAACTTTTGAGGCTGATCGGATAAACAACATGGCCGACAGGCAGCCATCTTTGATTTTGATAGTGAAAGTTTGTTATCACTATTTCTTGTGAAGAAATAGAGGTATCAAATTTTATATGTAGGTTCCCCTTGGCCCTAAGCTGTGCAGGGCAACTTTTGAGACTGATCGAATAAACAACATGACAAGCCATCTTAGATTTTGATGGTTAAAGTTTGTTATCGCTATTTCTCATGAAGTACCAAAGGGATCTTTCTCAAGTTTTATATGTGTGTTCCCCTTGGTCCCTAGCTGTGCAGTGCAACTTTTGAGACTGATTGGATAAACAACATGTCCGACAGGCAGCCATCTTTGATTTTGATAGTAAAAGTTTGTTATCGCTATTTCTTGTGAAGTACTAGAAGGATCACATTTTTATATGTAGGTTCCCCTTGTTCCTAAGCTGTGCAGGGCAACTTTTGAGACTGATCGGATAAACAACATGGCCTGCTCGCCAATGGCGGTTTAAGTCTTGCTCGAGCAACCAAAAGTTGTCAAAAGTGCGGTAGTCACTGGCCCAACAGAAATAGTTTGGCCAACTGTCNTCAGTTGTCATTACTTTGATTTGAATCGAACTGTCCGTGATTTAGAATATGTGATGTTTTTTTCAGAATTTCTATATATATATATACTGCCTGGCTGGGTGTCTTCTTTGAGGTGCCAGTTTTGTGTATTTCTTTTTGGGAAGACCTGAATGGAGTGGATCATGTCAGGTTTTAACATATAGGGTTGAAGAATTAAAAATATAATGTTTTATTCTGTTTTACAATATATTACAAACATTGTCATGTTATATGTAATTTAAATGTGCTGAAGCATTGTGTTAAATGGTGTGGAAATATTTCTTCCCAAAATTATTTGGGCCATAAATATGTCATTTGGGCAAGTGCTTCAAATTTTTTACTCGTCCAAAAAAAATATTTTTGGCCAGCCAATGCAGGTTCCCCACTATCCTTTATTGTTCATGTTTACTCTTCTGAAACTGATCAGTTAAACAAAATGGCCTACCGACAGCCATCTTTGATTTTTGACATTGAAGGTTTGTTAGTACTATTTCTCAGGAATAACTTGAGGGATCTTTCTCAAATTTGATATGTAGCTATAGATTCCCCTTGATCCCTCGTTGTGCATGTTATATTTTGAGACTGATCATAAACATAAAATGGCTAAAGGAAGAACTAAACAGATCTTTCTCATATTGCAATGATCGATTCTATTTCTTTCACATTAAGTACTGTGCTAGTAAATATGTGAAATGACAAACTCACTTTGAAGGTTGGCTTTCATACACATCGGTATTAAGTTTAGATCAAAAGTTACCTCAAGATGCATTTACTGTTAACATGACTCGATCAAACTGATTAGTGGAAAGAAGAGAAAAGATCGAACTGACAAAGAACTAATGAAGATGGTACAATGGTGGGCGCCAAGATCCCTCTGGGATCTCTTGTTCGTAGAAAATTGTCCATCAACTTCAGTGTCATCACTCTAATGACATTGTTTTTGATTGGATTTTATTAAACTTTGTGCCAAGGTCAGTAAGGAGAATCCTTAGACAAGTTTGTACTTCATTGTTCTATTATGTTAATGCTAAGACTTTTCTGTAAAGACATTTAATAAAGGTATTTTTCATGGAAATTCTTGAATTATATGCTGACATGTAAAAAAAATCAAAAAAGAAGAAAAACAGAAAAGAAGAAGAAAAATAGAAAAGAAATTAAACACGGATTAATTTAAATAAGTCACTACCACTGATTTTGTACAAGTGTATCTACATATGGAAACAAAGTTCAGTTTTTCAGTGAATTTATATTATGGCATAATAATTATATGCTAGTAAAATAGTATTTTGCAATTTTTCTAGTATTGAAACAGGGTTCTTTTCCCAAAATGATTCAACAAATCTTTGACAGAATTCTAGGAGATCACATATATTGACAATGCTATCAGGACAGTCTGGCATAGCAGTCTCACCAAATCAAGTCTGGCATAGCAGTCTCACCAAATCAAGGCCCGCCTAGCAGTCTCACCAAAACAAGTCTGGCATAGCAGTCCCACCAAATCAAGGCTCTCCTAGCAGTCTCACCAAATCCAGTCTGGCATAGCAGTCTCAACAAATCAAGGCTCGCCTAGCAGGCTCACCAAATCAAGTCTGGCAAAGCAGTCTCCCCAAATCAAGGCTCCCATAGCAGTCTCACCAAATAAAGTCTGGCATAGCAGTCTCAACAAATCAAGGCTCGCCTAGCAGTCTCACTAAATCAAGTCTGGCATAGCCGTCTCACCAAATCAAGTCTCGCATAGCAGTCACACCAAATCAAGGCTCCCCCAGGAGTCTCACCAAATCAAGGCTTGCCTAGCAGTCTCGCCAAATCAAGTCTGGCATAGGAGTCTCACCAAATCAAGACTCGCATAGCAGTCTCACCAAACCAAGTCTGGCATAGCAGTCTCAACAAATCAAGGCTCGCCTAGCAGTCTCCCCAAATCAAGGCTTGCCTAGTAGTCTCACCAAATCAAGTCTCGCATAGCAGTCACACCAAATCAAGGCTCCCCTAGCCATCTCACCAAATCAAGGCTCGCCTAGCAGTCTCACCAAATCAAGGCCACTAACCGTAACATATAGATTGGGACTACCTGTACACATAGTTGGTAACTACTCAGTACTCCTTAGAAATAATTCCTACACAATTTCAACATGTATCTATCCCTACTTGGTCCTACTGCCACTCAACACAGCCAGTAGTAAACAATTTTGTCACCACTTTAAAAACAGGTGTCCAAAAAAAATACCATGTAAAATATTTAAGTTACAAAAAGTCTGTCCGTCCTTGCGAAGTAGCTGACCAATAAACAAGTTGTGCAGCGGCTATAAGCTCATCAGGCCACGATGCGGGTGGACTTTCATCGAGACGTGTGAATGGAAATTGAAAGTGCATCAGTAAAATGTGTGGTTTCCTAAAAAACCAGATGACGATTTAAAAGACGCTGTTGACTGGATTCTTGTGTCGTCCGAACGTGACAATAGGACTAGTTCATTGTTCGACCATTCGGCATGTGTTGTCAGTGTCGCTGACGGTGTGCCATGTATTTTTTTCAGCAGCCTTATTTAATTAAACAGTGTGATTTCTAGTTATTAACACAGATTTGAAAAAAAAAATATGAAATATATGTATGTTTTTAAACCGTATGTATGTTTACATAGTGAGTTGTACATGTAGTACTGTTAATATTACTACACACTTGCTATTATTGAATCATAACAACATTTTGAGTTGGTACTTTTATCTAGAGGCACTGCAACACAGAGGTAAATATAAGAGCATAATATGCAACAGTATCCAAACTTTCATTTCTTTGAAATTTTCATTAAATGGACTTCAGTTAATTATTGTTCAAATTCAGAGTTGTCACTGTCCCTGTTAACAGCTGCGAACTTGTGATCGCGAGTCCCTATTTTCATCAAAGGTTTCATACCCATTTCAATATCATTACCATTTCTGATTTTTTTATGAAAGTAGGCCATCCAGCCACCAATGCATAGCATAGTTATAAAAGTCAACCCACAATGCCATACATAATACATTGTAATAAGCAGGAATGAATGGTGATCTTCTGGACTCCATTCCTTTGCTCCTGGTAAAGGGTTATGCAGAATGAAGCCTATTTGCCAGAACCAGGTACCTTGCAGAAAGATGAAATAAGTCCTTGCCAATGCCGCGAGAATGTTGTGTCTCCATTTCATTTCGGCCATGACTGCCAGAACATTAGCAATTATGGTGTAAACTAGAAGGGTGTGTACCAGTACGTCGATTCCGTCCCTACCGTGTAGGTGGAACTTAAACAGGATTCCTTCCACAACTACAGCAAATATCATGCTCACATAGTCTAAATCCCTGAGGACTGGGAATCGGAAGTATAGCAACAAATCCATGACTCCTGTTAGTCCAAAGAAGAAGAACATAGTAGCATGCTGTGCGTTTTCTGGTATGATGTGGCCATTTTTAAAGCCTGTGTATATTTCCAGACTAAATCCAACACCAACAAAGAAGAGTTTGATGAGTGATTCGAGTGGCCAAGCTTTAGCCCTGCCACATAAACACTCGCAGGAATAGGTGGGTGTGGAAGTGAATTGGAGGCGTTTTTGTCGACAAGTGAAGTATCTATGAAATATTTGAACAGTCCACCATAATGCAAACACAATGAAAAATGATCCTGGAAGGGCATGACCTTCAAAGTTTCCCATGATTCCTCAGTAAATTTTCTGTCTGATAATCAACACTTTCTGCAAATAAATCATGAAGAAAAAATATTAAAGTTTTGATAGACATTATAAGATGATATTTGAATAGCAGACATTGTGATATCTCAGAATAGCAGACATTGTGATATCTCAGAATAGCAGACATTGTGATATCTCAGAATAGCAGACATTGTGATATCTCAGAATAGCAGACATTGTGATATCTCAGAATAGCAGACATTGTGATATCTCAGAATAGCAGACATTGTGATATCTCAGAATAGCAGACATTGTGATATCTCAGAATAGCAGACATTGTGATATCTCAGAATAGCAGACATTGTGATATCTCAGAATAGCAGACATTGTGATATCTCAGAATAGCAGACATTGTGATATCTCAGAATAGCAGACATTGTGATATCTCAGAATAGCAGACATTGTGATATCTCAGAATAGCAGACATTGTGATATCTCAGAGATCATAATGGAATCAAAAATAATATTTCAAGATATCTTATCAAACAAGGATTCTGAAAACATTGATATTCTGGATGTATTGTTACCAAAAATACTGAAAACGCTGGATGCATCAGTACCAAGGTTACTGAAAAAAATTGTGATTTTAAATGTATAATTACAAAATATATTGAAAACATTAGTATTTTGGATTGAAGATTTATTGCTACGAAGATTGCTGAAACATTGATATTCTGGATGCATCAGTACCAAGGTTACTGAAAAAAAATGGTGATTTTAAATGTATTATTACAAAATATATTGAAAACATTGGTATTTTGAAATCTTGATGTATTGTTGCCAAGGTTACTGAAACATTAGTATTTTGGATGTTTTGTTACCAAAGTTACTGAAAATGCTAGTGTTTTGGATCTATCGTTATAAAGGTTACTGAAAACACTGGTATTTCAGATGGTTTTTTTAACAAGGTTGGTATAAAAACACTGGATTAGGATTTCCTGAATTGAGAAAAACACTTTTTTTGATAGATTTTTCTGTCATGTTTTTTTTTTTTTTTATAACCAGGAGGGAAAAAGTGTAAATGGATCAGTTAGATTTTTTTATCAGTCTGTTCTAAAATTCTTCTCCTATCTTATACCTCTGTGCAAGCATTCCTCCTATCTTATACCTCTGTACAAGCATTCCTCCTATCTTATACCTCTGTACAAGCATTCCTCCTAACTTATACCTCTGTGCAAGCATTCCTCCTATCTTATACCTCTGCAAGCATTCCTCCTATCTTATACCTCTGTACAAGCATTCCTCCTATCTTATACCTCTGTACAAGCATTCCTCCTATCTTATACCTCTGTACAAGCATTCCTTTGAATTCATCTAATAAACAATATCATGTGTATGTAAAGAGAGAACCAATCTCATTGTACCTAGTCAAGTCTATGAAAACTCACAGTAGGTTGATATGTAGGATCAAACTCTTGGTGTTCTTTCAATAATTATGTGAATCAAAGTTCATGTAGGATATCAACCTGCTGGAAACGAATGCGATAAAACATGCCAGAAAATGACCCTGTAATATTCTCTTTCCACTTTTGTAAGTGTAGATGACTAATTATGATATATACCAATGAGATTATCTATGTACACAGACATTATGCTGAACATAAATCTACATACAAACCTTGTAAAGAGTTGATGTAGCTCTCTCAGTGCTTCAATAATGTTATCTGAGCGAGATAATGTCTCAAAATATTTTAGACTAAATCACGGTGGCCTGAGCTGTACTGATAAATGTCTAATCTTTTAGACACGTGAGGCTCTCCTGATACAGACGATTATATGTATATATGTGTACTTATGTTCTGTATCCAAAGACTCATTGATGAGAATGTCGTTTTTACACAGGTTTATAATCTAATCACATGGTGTGTTGATACATGTATAGGATTGCATTAGTACACCATGCATCATAAAAGTTGCTATTATTAGAGTATTGTCATTATATGTCAATTTAAATGAACATTAGGCGTAATTGGACAGTAAACACTAAAGGAGTTAGCTAGTTGATAATACGCTACAAAATACATTTTGAAAATGAACTTCATTTTGTTTTTGTTATTCTGTTCTCTCAATTTTGTTCCCCTATGTTTAAACAGAGAAAACATTATTTTATCTGCACTTGCATTCAAAAGCATCTAAATATGTTAATACAAGGAATTCCTAAGGAATTTATTTTGAACTTTCATAAAGTCAACAACGTTCAGTTTCTGGACTGTTTTACCATGGCCCCTAAAAAGTTCTACATATTTTATCTTCTACTTATGTTGTATAACTTTGAGTGTATCCCTCCTTGTGTTGTATAACTTGGGTGTATCCCTACTTATGTTGTATAACTTGGATGTATTCCTACTTGTGTTGTATAACTTTGAGTGTATCCCTCCTTGTGTTGTATAACTTGGTTGTATCCCTACTTATGTTGTATAACTTGGGTGTATCCCTACTTATGTTGTAGTACTTGGGTGTATCCCTACTTATGTTGTATGACTTGTGTGAATCCCTACTTGTGTTGTATAACTTGGATGTATTCCTACTTGTGTTGTATAACTTTGAGTGTATCCCTCCTTGTGTTGTATAACTTGGTTGTATCCCTACTTATGTTGTATAACTTGGGTGAATCCCTACTTATGTTTTATAACTTGGATGTATTCCTACTTATGTTGTAGAACTTGGGTGTATCCCTACTTATGTTGTATGACTTGGTTGTTTCCCTACTTATGTTGTATAACTTGGATGTATTCATACTTGTGTTGTATAACTTGGATGTATTCATACTTGTGTCGTATAACTTGGGTGTATCCCTACTTATGTTGTATGACTTGGGTGAATCCCTACTTGTGTTGTATAACTTTGGTGTATCCCTACTTATCTTGTACAACTTGGGTGAATTTTAATCCCTACTTGTTTTGTATAACTTGGGTGTATCCCTACTTATGTTGTATAACTTGGATGTATTCCTACTTGTGTTGTATAACTTGGGTGTATCCCTACTTATGTTGTATGACTTGTGTGAATCCCTACTTGTGTTGTATAACTTGGATGTATTCCTACTTGTGTTGTATAACTTGGGTGTATTCCTACTTGTGTTGTATAACTTTGGTGTATCCCTACTTCTCTTGTACAACTTGGGTGAATTTTAATCCCTACTTGTTTTGTATAACTTGGGTGTATCCCTACTTATGTTGTATAACTTGGGTGAATTTTAATCCCTACTTGTGTTGTATAACTTGGGTGTATTCCTATCCAAAAAATTACTTGGTCCACTTTTAATGTTACTTGATTAAAATAGGTTTAAACCTTCTAATGTAATGATATGAAGCCTGTAGTATAAGCTTCATTGCTTTCAAGATTGTTAAAATAATTTGACCTTGACCTGTTTTGAAGGTCATAGATGTCAGATGTGCCAACATTATTAAATAACTGGTTAGTGATTCAGGCCAATTGGTCCTCTTGTTTGAAAAATATATATGAAACAGTTAATCTTCATAAAAATTTCAAGAATATTCATCTGCAGACACTGGTATGCTAGAACCTACCCCACTGGGTAATCCTTTTAATGGATGGAAAGATCTAAAGGTGTTTTATCAAAACTATAGACCATAATGGACTCATCCAGATTAATGCATGATAAAAGTCTACTTAAGTAACATAGGGTTGAAAGGGCTAAGGCCCATGGGCCTCTTTTCTGATTTTTTGTTTGTGACTATTTTTTTTATACTTCTGATACCTACATTGTACAGGGAGCGCACTCCTTCAGGTCCCTACCTACATTGTACAGGTAGCACACTCCTTCAGGTCCCTACCAACATTGTACAGGGAGCACACTCCTTCAGGTCCCTACCTACATTGTACAGGGAGCATACTCCTCAAGGTCCCTACCTACATTGTACAGGGAGCACACTCCTTCAGGTCCCTACCTACATTGTACAGAGAGCACACTTCTTCAGGTCCATACCTACATCAATCTGATTAAAATCATCTGTTACATGGCTCCGCCTGAACATCTGAATGTACCGCGGTCAGGGTCACGTTCACGTTACCTTTAGATGAACCAATCAGAGGTGCGTTGGCAAACTTTTGCCAGCAAATCGGAATATCATAGTCGATAGATAAATATTGAGGGGTATCAAACAGATTAGTTTTCCAAAACAATTATGGCGGCGGGAACTGATGTTTCTACGACGCCAAGGAAAACATACCCATACCCCGTGGATGACCAATAAGATAAGGCTGATATTTAGACAGAAAAATAGAATTCACAAAAAAGCAAAAAATATTAATAGTCAGACTTGTTGGGAAACCTTTAGACTAATTAGAAATGAAGCTATTGATATGATAAGAAATGCCAAGAAGTTTTATCTTGAAAATCTCCAAAAATCCTTATGTGATAAATCTGTACCACCTAGTAAGTGGTGGAAAGTTTCCAACTCTGTTTTAAACTTTAATAATAAACTGAAAAGTATACCACCAATATATGATGAAGGAATGAGCATTCAACACCCAACTGATAAAGCTGTGACTCTAAATAACTACTTTTCATCTATAGCATCTTCTTCTCCTGATCTTGAACAATTACCTCCCTTGGTTAATAACTTTCCTTCTAAACTAGATAATATCTTTATTTCTGAGCAAGATGTTTTAGACCAATTACAAATCCTTAATGATAAAAAACCGCCTGGTCCAGATGAGATGATCCCAAAAATTATTAAGCAGCTTCGTTCCTCCATTTCATTACCGCTACAATTGCTATTTAATAAAACCATAGAAACTGGCAAAATACCAACATCCTGGAAATTGGCAAATGTTAATGCTATTTATAAGGGTAAAGGGTCACAGAATGAAGTTACAAACTATAGACCAATATCAATCACATCATGGTTTAGTAAAATTATTGAAAAAATTATATTTAAAAATTTATATAACTATCTTACTGATAATGAAATCATATCCAAACATCAATCTGGATTCTTACCTGGTGACTCGACTGTAAATCAGCTTTTATCTATATATCACATAATAGTAAGTAATTTAGATGGGGGTAAAGAAGTGCGATTTGTATTTTGTGATGTGAGCAAAGCTTTCGATAGAGTATGGCATGATGGTCTTATATTCAAACTAGAGTCAATTGGAATAAAAGGAAAATTGTTATCTTGGTNTTTTTTATTCCTACTGTACATTAATGATATAACAGACCAAGTTAATAATAATATTAAATTATTTGCTGATGATACTTCCTTATACATAATTATTGATAATAATCCAATACAAGCAGCAGAAAGTCTAACAAATGATCTTCAGAATATAAGTACATGGGCAAAAAAGTGGGACTTAAAATTTAATGCTGCAAAAACTGAATCTGTTATTTTTACTAGGAAAAAAGAACCAAATCACCCACCTATTTCTTTCTTGAATGAACCACTAACTAACAATAGATTTCACACTCATCTTGGTCTTACTTTCACTGAAGATGGTAAATGGGCTGAACACATACAAAATACCTATGATAAGGCATATAAAAGAATAAACATTCTTAGAAGTCTAAAACATTCTGTTGATAAAAAATCACTTATTATAATGTATACCTCTTATATTAGGCCAATCTTAGAATATGCAAGTGTAGTATGGGACAATTGTACAGAACAGGAAAAAACACTTCTCGAATCAGTCCAATTAGATGCAGCCAGGATAATTACAGGATTACGCCGAGGAACATCTCATGTGAAACTTTACGAAGAATTAGAATGGGAAACATTAGCTGAAAGAAGAAATAAACAAAAATTAATTTTTATGTATAGAATTCTGCATAATGACTCCCCATCTTACTTATTAAATATTATAGATCCATTTATTAATGATATTACAAGTACAAGATATGAGTTAAGGGGAAATAGAATTTTTAATCCGCCTCTCTGTCGAACAGATAATTATTTTAACAGTTACTTTCCTGCCACTCTCAACAAATATAATCAGCTGGACTCTACTATTACTAACTCCCAATCCCTATCTCAGTTTAAAAAACACCTAAAAAACCTTAACAAACCCCATAATGATGTAACCCTCATATTTAAATATTCAGGATGCAGAAAAATTAATATTATTTTTTGCCAACTACGAAATAAGGCCAGTAATTTGAACTTTGACCTTTATAATGATCACTTGTCTGGATCACCTACTTGTGATTGCAGACAGGATCACAAAACCCCCTACCATTACTTTTTTGAATGTCAAAATTTTGATAACCAAAGACATGTTCTGATATAATCTCTTTACCGAATGATAATCATATGCATAATAATATAAATGTCTTTCTCAATGGTTGTTCACAATGTAGTGATGATATAAATGCTTCTATACTTGAAAAGGTATCAGTCTTTATCACTGATACAAAGAGATTCCTTAACCACCATTAGTTGTTTCTGTACTGTGAATAATAAAATTCAGTCTTTCTATAAAAAAAATAAAAAAAATAAATATAATTCTTACTTTATAAATTGATAAAATAAATTGATGAATGTAGGTGGTTGGATGATGATGAAAAAATGATGACTTCTGCTGAAAATAATTAACTATATATAAAATATGTACATTGTATTATCAAAAATCTCCTAGTGTTGCATGGCGAGGATCCAAGGTCTGCTGGGGTGAATGACCAAAGCCAGTGTATGGCTAAGGACTTTGTATGGTCAGAATCCCTAGTAGCTTATGGATCTCTTGCTGCCCAACACTGGGGGATCCTTGGTCTAAATAAATGAGGCATATATATATTTATTTAACTAAAACTTCTATGGGAGTTACTCCCCTTGCATCACTATTTCTGTAACTATTTCATGTACCATTTCTTTCTATTTCTTTCTATATATAGTTTATATTCGTTTGTAATTCTGGCTAGGAGAGGACTTATATAGGCATAGCCTGTTGTCCAATTCTTTTGATTTTTCAATAAAATTTACTGAAATGAAATACCCATTGAGTAATAATTGCGTAGGCAACACTGCCATACAGTCTTTCTTCTCTAATAAAGCTTCGAATATCTTTTTCTGTTCGGGTTTCAGACGATCAATCTCAAACAACTTCAGAACTTTCGCATCATTCTCATCAATGTCCACCATATTTGTTACAACTCCAAGCGCCCTTTTGAAAGAGGGTCACTGATTGGTCAAAACTTAATGAGTATTTATAAATATAAAGGTCACCTGAACGTGACCCTGACCGCGGCACACTCAGATGTTCAGGCGTAGTACAAAGTTAATGAAGCCATGTAACATATGATTTTAATCAGATTGTACCTACATTGTGCAGGCGTTTATTTTGATTCTCTCCTCCCCTCTATTGTTCTAAAGATTAGATAGTACTAAATCTGTGTAATTCAATATACAGTGGAACCCGCTTATTATGATATTCTATTTGCCAGAGAAAAATATCATAATAACCGATATTATACAATTATGGACTTTTGTGCTGGTGAATATGATGTGATATGAACCTGAAAATGTGACATTGACAGAGGCGAAGATGAGGTCAATATCACTTTTTCAGGTTCATATCACATCATATTTACCAGCACAAAAGCCCATAACTGTTTTATTATATGCTTCAACAATCAAATAAAACAACAAAACTCAAGGTTCTGATTTTCAACGCGAGTCTCCGTGTAAAATTTAGCCAGGTTTGAATTCAACAGTTCAGCATTGTAGCTTTCGAAGGCATTGTCTAGGTTATTTTTCTTAAGATAAGCATGGAGGACATGCACTGTGTGTCCAATGGCCTTTTTATGTTAACAGCATCTTTATCCTAAAATAGTTTTGGTAATTTTCGGATGTAACAGAGGAGAAACGTTCGCCAGCAGCCATCTTCTTATGTCGTCTGACAGATCGCGTTCTGGTCTAACTGCCCATGCTCTACGACAGGTTCCCGGGAATTTCCATATAGGCTATATTTAGAAATCAATATTCACTGGATAACCAGTCTACATGAGTTTTTGAGGACTAGTCACGTGTATAGGATCAGACCAATGTGATTGCGAGAAATTTTCATGCATATAATAAATCATAATAACCGATCGTTTTTATGTTGTCTGAACAGGAAGTGAGATGCCTTGTATTAATCAGACATAGATTGATGTGGAAACATGGAAAAATGTAACTAAAAAAAATGCTATACACATCATGTCCAGCTATGTCGGTCTGACATTTCTGTTCCTTCCCATGTATATCCTATTTCTCCTCCTACACAATCTTATATACAGATTTAATTCTGTATACCATGGTACTGTTGTTATATAGGTTATTTCTAGATATTCAGGTTGTGAAATGTTTTTGATAAAAATGTTTATTGCTGTACAAAGTTCAGAATCAAATAACTGCTGAAAGTGTACAGCGGCACTGTCTCTAAAGTAAAAGTTGTTACATAATACATGTACATATATATTTGTTATATTCCAGTCCCATACACACATATTATATATAATACTATGCTTGCATCATCTACAGAAGGTGCTTATTGTACTGTAATTATAGGTCACAGTGACCTTCAACTTGATGTAAAACATCAAATAAGTTCCAAACATATTCTAACAAACCAGAATATACTGTAAAAAAAATGTGTAAATAGTAAAATAGAAACCAAGAGAAGAGAAATCAAAGTTTATACACAAATATTGTATGTATAGGCCAAACGTCCCAGGTCAAGGCTCAAGTGACATAAAAAATAATTTCATCACATTGTTGTACAGATAAATAAAACCAATCGCTCACTCAGCCAGTCATAGCTTGACAACGGGACCAGTGGGTATTGAGACGTTGTGACACCACGTTTAAGTAAAACTTTGATATTACCTATTTGAAGACAGAGAAGAAATGTATGGTTTTATCTGACAAATAAAATTCTCAAGATAAGTCTAGACATCCCACAGAAATCTCACAGACATCACACAGACATCACACAGACATCACACAGACATCTCACAGACATCACACAGACCTCACACAGACATCACACACACATCTCACAGACATCACACAGACATCTCACAGACATCACACAGACATTTTTGTTTATTGTTTACTTGCTGATGAATGTCCATTAGATACACTGTAGCCACTTTGTAGTTGCTGGACCATCAAATAGCAGACTTGTAAAACATGCTGCCTCAGTGTATCCATGCCCCTTAATGTTTTATTTCACCTGTTTGTAGCTTACTACTGTCAGAACTGGCACCTAATCCCTGTCGGACTGAAGACAAACAAACCGATGAATACAGCCGCCCGATCACCAGGATCCTGTCCTTCCATCTTTATCACCGAGTCCATAATGGAACATTTAGCCAAAGCTCTCAACATGGACCCTACTGAGGTTAGGAGGGTTAACCTCTACCAAAAAAACCAGGTAAGGAATTCCTGTGTGTCAAATGTCAGGGGGTCAGCCTCTACCAACAAAACCAGGTAAGGTATTCATGTGATACTGATATGTCAAAGGCCAGGGGTCAGCCTCTACCAACAAAACCAGGTAAGGTATTCCTGTGTGTTAAAGGTCAAAGATCAGCCTATACAAACAAAGCAAGGTAAGGTATTCCTGTGTGTCAAAGGTCAGGATCGAGGGTCAACCTATACAAACAAAACCAAATAAGGTAATACTGTGTGTCAAAGGTCAGGATCAAGGGTCAACCTATACAAACAAAACTGGGTAAGGAATTCCTGTGCATCAAAGGTCAGGATCAAGGGTCAACCTATACAATCAAAACCAGGTAAGGTATTCCTGTGTGTCAAAGGCCAGGATCGAGGGTCAACCTCTACCAATAAAACCAGGTAAGATATTCCTGGGTATCAAAGGTCAGGAGGGTCAACTTCTGCCAACAAAACCAGGTAAGGTATTCCTGGGTGTCAAAGATCAGGAGGGTCAACATCTACCAACAAAACCAGGTAAGGTATTCCTGTGTGTCAAAGGTCAGGGGGTCAGCCTTTACCAACAAAACCAGGTAAGGTATTCCTGTGTGTCAAAGGTCAGGATCGAGGGTCAACCTCTCCCAACAAAACCAGATAAGGTATTCCCTGATACTAATGTATCAAGGTTAGGGGGTCAAAAGGGCAAGGTAAGTGTTCTCTGATACTGATATGCAAAAGGTCAGCGGTCAATGGGGCAAGGTAAGCGTTCTCTGATACTGATGTATCAAAGGTCAGGGGTCAACGAGGCAAGGTAAGTGTTCTCCGATACTGATGTGTATATAAAGTAATTGTGAAAGAGTTATATTCTTTTTATTATTTTTTTTATCTTATGCCATTTAGTTTGAAAAATTGTGTTTATCAGTTTTACTGATGAATGGAAAAAAAAATGAGTTATTTAAGGAATTGACTTTTTAAAAAGTCAAATGATTTATAAATAATGGAATCAGCCATTCTTTTTGTTTTTCTTTACTCATAGTTCATCCCGACAACTACTCTTTCACATTCCATCTGATTTCCCTGAAACAGTTAAACAGAAGTTGTAATGTGACATGTCTGTATATTTACTAGCTCACTCCATACAAACAGAAGTTGTAATGTGACAGTCTGTATATTTACTAGCTCACTCCATACAAACAGAAGTTGTAATGTAACATGTCTGTATATTTACTACCTCACCCCATACAAACAGAAGTTGTAATGTGACATGTCTGTATATTTACTAGCTTACTCCATACAAATAGAAGTTGTAATGTGACATGTCTGTATATTTACTAGCTCACCCCATACAAACAGAAGTTGTAATGTGACATGTCTGTATATTTACTAGCTCACTCCATGCGAACAGAAGTTGTAATGTGACAGTCTGTATATTTCCTAGCTCACCCCATACAAACAGAAGTTGTAATGTGACATGTCTGTATATTTGCTAGCTCACCCCATACAACAGAAGTTGTAATGTGACATGTCTGTATATTTACTAGCTTACTCCATACAAATAGAAGTTGTAATGTGACATGTCTGTATATTTACTAGCTTACTCCATACAAATAGAAGTTGTAATGTGACATGTCTGTATATTTGCTAGCTCACCCCATACAACAGAAGTTGTAATGTGACATGTCTGTATATTTATTAGCTCACCCCATACAAACAGAAGTTGTAATGAAACATGTCTGTATATTTACTAAATCACTCAATACAAACAGAAGTTGTTATAATGTAACATGTCTGTATATTTATGACATGTCTGTATATTTACTAGCTCACCCTATACAAACAGAAGTTGTAATGTGACATGTCGGTATATTTACTAGCTCACTCCATACAAACAGAAGTTGTAATGAAACATGTCTGTATATTTACTAAATCACTCCATACAAACAGAAGTATCCCGACAACTACTCTTTCACATTCCATCTGATTTCCCTGAAACAGTTAAACAGAAGTTGTAATGTGACATGTCTGTATATTTACTAGCTTACTCCATACAAATAGAAGTTGTAATGTGACATGTCTGTATATTTACTAGATCACCCCATACAAACAGAAGTTGTAATGTGTCATGTCTGTATATTTGCTAGCTCACCCCATACAACAGAAGTTGTAATGTGACATGTCTGTATATTTACTAGCTTACTCCATACAAATAGAAGTTGTAATGTGACATGTCTGTATATTTACTAGCTTACTCCATACAAATAGAAGTTGTAATGTGACATGTCTGTATATTTGCTAGCTCACCCCATACAACAGAAGTTGTAATGTGACATGTCTGTATATTTACTAGCTTACTCCATACAAATAGAAGTTGTAATGTGACATGTCTGTATATTTACTAGCTTACTCCATACAAATAGAAGTTGTAATGTGACATGTCTGTATATTTGCTAGCTCACCCCATACAACAGAAGTTGTAATGTGACATGTCTGTATATTTACTAGATCACCCCATACAAACAGAAGTTGTAATGTGTCATGTCTGTATATTTGCTAGCTCACCCCATACAACAGAAGTTGTAATGTGACATGTCTGTATATTTACTAGCTTACTCCATACAAATAGAAGTTGTAATGTGACATGTCTGTATATTTACTAGATCACCCCATACAAACAGAAGTTGTAATGTAACATGTCTGTATATTTACTAGCTCACTCCATGCGAACGGAAGTTGTAATGTGACAGTCTGTATATTTCCTAGCTCACCCCATACAAACAGAAGTTGTAATGTAACATGTCTGTATATTTACTACCTCACCCCATACAAACAGAAGTTGTTGTTATGTGACATGTCTGTATATTTACTAGCTCACTCCATACAAACAGAAGTTGTAATGAAACATGTCTGTATATTTACTAAATCACTCCATACAAACAGAAGTTGTTATAATGTAACATGTCTGTATATTTACTAGCTCACCCCATACAAACAGAAGTTGTAATGTGACATGTCTGTATATTTGCTAGCTCACCCCATACAACAGAAGTTGTAATGTGACATGTCTGTATATTTACTAGCACACCCCATACAAACAGAAGTTGTAATGTGACAGTCTGTATATTTACTAGCTCACCCCATACAAACAGAAGTTGTTATAATGTAACATGTCTGTATATTTACTAGCTTATCCCATACAAACAGAAGTTGTAATGTGACATGTCTGTATATTTACTGGCTCACCCCATACAAACAAAAGTTGTTATAATGTAACATGTCTGTAGATTTACTAGCTCACCCCATTCAAACAGAAGTTGTTATAATTTAACATGTCTGTATATTTCCTAGCACACCCCATACAAGCAGAAGTTGTAATGTGACAGTCTGTATGTTTACTAGCTCACCCCATACAAACATAAGTTGTTATGTGACATGTCTGTATATTTTCTAGCTCACCCCATACAACAGAAGTTGTAATGTGACACTCTGTATATTTACTAGCCCACACCATACAAACAGAAGTTGTAATATGACATGTCTGTATATTTCCTAGCACACCCCATACAAACAGATGTTGTAATGTAACATGTCTGTAGATTTACTAGCTCACCCCATTCAAACAGAAGTTGTAATGTAACGTGTCTGTATATTTACTAGCACTCCCCATACAAACAGAAGGTGTAATGTAACATGTCTGTATATTTACTAGCTCACCCCATACAAACAGCCGCTGCTGTACTGTAATATCTCGACCCTGCTTACTGAGCTGGAGACTTTGGCTGATGTTTCACAGAGGAAAAAGAGTGTTGTAACATTTAATCAGGTATTGTTTATGTCAAAATCTATTTATTATTTAGACCTTAAATTCAAGATACTGGATTGAATAATTTTGAATGTTTTGTTATGTATTCAAATAAAAGCAAAGTAGCTCAGTAGAGCTATTCCATTGACAATAACAACAATGAGAGTGTTATTTGAAAACACCAAAACATATCACAATGGTATATTTAGTTTGTATTGCTGATGTAAAACAAAAAAAACGCACTACATGTAGTGGGATGGTATATATGCTTATATGGTGTAATTTTAAGCTACAGGAAGAATATAAAAAAATATTTGTTATGTTTAGAAATGGCTGATATAATATGAACAAATCACATGAGAAATGAGTTTCGAAGGGGAAAATATTAAAAGCACAATAATGTAGTAAACACACAGTCAAAACTGAGGATTACGTAGGTACAAATTTAGATTGTCCTATTACCAATACTCAGTAAAATGTAAGCCGTTGAACTAAGCTAACGACTGAGCCACACAGGTGTAAATTATTACAGACATATGATAAGATATATATCGGGGAGCCACACAGGTGTAAATTATTACATACATATGATAAGATATATATCGGGGAGCCACACAGGTGTAAATTGTTACAGACATATGATAAGATATATATCGGGGAGCCACACAGGTGTAAATTATTACATACATATGATAAGATATATATCGGGGAGCCACACACATATGATAAGATATATATCGGGGCCGTCCCAGGTGTGTTACAGTCTCCAGGAGACGGGAAAACTCAGCCAGTTTCAATTCATCTGGTAAATTACAGTAATTTTTACCATACCTGTCCGCAAGGTCTAAAACTCGTTGTGGAGAGAGACCAATTAAGATCCTGAAGAACACCCATTCAAAACTGTACACCAGGTCGAGTTATAAACAGGGCAGTCATTTGTACCATTGTCGTTTGTCGCATTGTTAAAGTCATGCAATACTACCTGTACAGGCTTGTGCCTGACTACACACCCTATCAAAATACGGATATCTATACCTTATCGTGTTTAAATAAATACCCGTCCTCAAATGTGTTCCGATACACAGTGATCTAATGTATCTTACCAAAGCTAAATGGTTAATGTCAACACATAACCAAAGCATTTAAAACATCTTCTGTCATTAGATGTCCCCAATGATATTAGTACTTGTATAATAAATATATTAATACAAGTCTCCTTGATTTTATAGATAGCTGTAGTGTTAAGGTAAACAGCACCAACAGTTAAACTATATTATAACTGTTGTCACTATTGTGAAATATTAGTTTAGGTAAACAGCACCAACAGTTAAACTATATTATAACTGCTGTCACTATTGTGAAATATTAGTTAAGGTAAAGGGAACCGACAGTTAAACTATATTATAACTGCTGTCACTATTGTGAAATATTAGTTTAGGTAAACAGCACCAACAGTTAAACTATATTATAACTGCTGTAACTATTGTGAAATATTAGTTAAGGTAAAGGGTACAGCCCCCTAAACTATATTATTACTGTTGTCACTATTGTGAAATATTAGTTTAGGTAAAGGGTACAGACAGTTAAACTATATTATTACTGTTGCCACTATTGTGAAATATTAGTTAAGGTAAAGGGTACTGACAGTTAAACTATATTATTACTGTTGTCACTATTGTGAAATATTAGTTTAGGTAAAGGGTTCAGACAGTTAAACTATATTATAACTGTTGTCACTATTGTGAAATATTAGTTAAGGTAAAGGGTACAGACAGTTAAACTGTATAAATAGCTCTGACTACACAACAACACAAATGTGTTACCTTGTTTTACATCTCCAGAACAACCGCTGGAGGAAGAAAGGCCTGTCTATAGTGCCAATGAAGTTTGAAATTTTTTGGGAAGGAGGCAACTACAACTGTCTTGTGGACGTCTACCAGAGTGACGGAAGTGTTATCATAGATCACGGAGGCATTGAGTGTGGGCAGGGTATCAATACCAAGGTAGGGACCACAGTGACGGAAGTGTTATCATAGATCACAGAGGCATTGAGTGTGGGCAGGGTATTAATACCAAGGTAGGGACAAGAGTGACGGAAGTGTTATCATAGATCACGGAGGCATTGAGTGTGGGCAGGGTATCAATACCAAGGGAGGGACCACAGTGACGGAAGTGTTATCATAGATCACAGAGGCATTGAGTGTGGGCAGGGTATTAATCCCAAGGTAGGGACAAGAGTGACGGAAGTGTTACCATAGATCACGGAGGCATTGAGTGTGGGCGGGGTATCAATACCAAGGTAGGGTACAGAGTGACGGAAGGGTTATCATAGATCACGGAGGCATTGAGAGTGGGCAGGGTATCAATACCAAGGTAGGGACCAGAGTGACGGAAGTGTTTAATTATCATAGATCACGGAGGCATTGAGTGTGGGCAGGGTATCAATACCAAGGTAGGGTACAGAGTGTAAGCTGGACTACTAAGTCTGTGTATCTCATTAGGTAAAAGTACTGTTACTATTTATAGAAAAAAAAGGTCCAAAACTGAATCTAACTTTACATAACTGCTGGTTCGAAAATGTCTTGCAGACATTAATTTCCTATATTTTCTATTTTTACAATATTTGTTGATGATTTGATATCCAATATGTACACGTTTTTGTCTATAATGATTTGAAATCCAATATTTACACATTTGTGTCTGTAATGATTTGATATCCAATATGTACACATTTGTGTTTATAGTGATTTGATATCCAATATGTACACATTTGTGTCTATAATGATTTGATATCCAATATGTACACATTTGTGTTTATAATGATTTGATAGCCAATATGTACACATTTGTGTTTATAGTGATTTGATATCCAATATGTACACATTTGTGTCTATGATAATTTGATATCCAATATGTACACATTTGTTTGTAATGATTTGATATCCAATATGTACACGTTTGTGTCTATATTGATTTGATATCCAATATGTACACATTTGTGTCTATAATGATTTGATATCCAATATGTACACATTTGTGTCTGTAATGATTTGATATCCAATATGTACACGTTTGTGTCTATAATGATTTGATATCCAATAGGTACACATTTGTGTCTGTATTGATTTGATATCCAATATGTACACATTTGTGTCTATAATGATTTGATATCCAATATGTACACATTTGTGTCTATAATGATTTGATATCCAATATGTACACATTTGTGTCTGTAATGATTTGATATCCAATATGTACACGTTTGTGTCTATAATGATTTGATATCCAATATGTACACATTTGTGTCTATAATGATTTGATATCCAATATGTACACATTTGTGTCTGTAATGATTTGATATCCAATATGTACACGTTTGTGTCTATAATGATTTGATATCCAATATGTACATGTTTTTGTCTATAATGATTTGATATCCAATATGTACACATTTGTGTCTGTAATGATTTGATAGCCAATATGTACACGTTTGTGTCTATAATGATTTGATATCCAATATGTACACATTTGTGTCTATAATGATTTGATATCCAATATGTACACATTTGTGTTTATAATGATTTGATATCCAATATGTACACATTTGTGTCTATAATGATTTGATATCCAATATGTACACGTTTGTGTCTATAATGATTTGATATCCAATATGTACACATTTGTGTCTATAATGATTTGATATCCAATATGTACACGTTTGTGTCTATAATGATTTGATATCCAATATGTACACATTTGTGTCTATAATGATTTGATATCCAATATGTACACATTTGTGTTTATAATGATTTGATATCCAATATGTACACATTTGTGTCTATAATGATTTGATATCCAATATGTACACGTTTGTGTCTATAATGATTTGATATCCAATATGTACACATTTGTGTCTATAATGATTTGATATCCAATATGTACACGTTTGTGTCTATAATGATTTGATATCCAATATGTACACATTTGTGTCTATAATGATTTGATATCCAATATGTACACGTTTGTGTCTATAATGATTTGATATCCAATATGTACACATTTGTGTCTATAATGATTTGATATCCAATATGTACACGTTTGTGTCTATAATGATTTGATATCCAATATGTACACATTTGTGTCTATAATGATTTGATATCCAATATGTACACGTTTGTGTCTATAATGATTTGATATCCAATATGTACACATTTGTGTCTATAATGATTTGATATCCAATATGTACACATTTGTGTCTATAATGATTTGATATCCAATATGTACACGTTTGTGTCTATAATGATTTGATATCCAATATGTACACATTTGTGTCTATAATGATTTGATATCCAATATGTACACGTTTGTGTCTATAATGATTTGATATCCAATATGTACACATTTGTGTCTATAATGATTTGATATCCAATATGTACACGTTTGTGTCTATAATGATTTGATATCCAATATGTACACATTTGTGTCTATAATGATTTGATATCCAATATGTACACGTTTGTGTCTATAATGATTTGATATCCAATATGTACACATTTGTGTCTATAATGATTTGATATCCAATATGTACACGTTTGTGTCTATAATGATTTGATATCCAATATGTACACATTTGTGTCTATAATGATTTGATATCCAATATGTACACGTTTGTGTCTATAATGATTTGATATCCAATATGTACACATTTGTGTCTATAATGATTTGATATCCAATATGTACACGTTTGTGTCTATAATGATTTGATATCCAATATGTACACATTTGTGTCTATAATGATTTGATATCCAATATGTACACGTTTGTGTCTATAATGATTTGATATCCAATATGTACACATTTGTGTCTATAATGATTTGATATCCAATATGTACACGTTTGTGTCTATAATGATTTGATATCCAATATGTACACATTTGTGTCTATAATGATTTGATATCCAATATGTACACGTTTGTGTCTATAATGATTTGATATCCAATATGTACACATTTGTGTCTATAATGATTTGATATCCAATATGTACACGTTTGTGTCTATAATGATTTGATATCCAATATGTACACATTTGTGTCTATAATGATTTGATATCCAATATGTACACATTTGTGTTTATAATGATTTGATAGCCAATATGTACACATTTGTGTTTATAGTGATTTGATATCCAATATGTACACATTTGTGTCTGTAATGATTTGATATCCAATATGTACACGTTTGTGTCTATAATGATTTGATATCCAATATGTACACATTTGTGTCTATAATGATTTGATATCCAATATGTACACGTTTGTGTCTATAATGATTTGATATCCAATATGTACACATTTGTGTCTATAATGATTTGATATCCAATATGTACACATTTGTGTCTATAATGATTTGATATCCAATATGTACACGTTTGTGTCTATAATGATTTGATATCCAATATGTACACATTTGTGTCTATAATGATTTGATATCCAATATGTACACATTTGTGTCTGTAATGATTTGATATCCAATATGTACACGTTTGTGTCTATAATGATTTGATATCCAATATGTACACATTTGTGTTTATAATGATTTGATAGCCAATATGTACACATTTGTGTTTATAATGATTTGATATCCAATATGTACACATTTGTGTTTATAATGATTTGATAACCAATATGTACACGTTTGTGTCTATAATGATTTGATATCCAATATGTACACGTTTGTGTTTGTAATGATTTGATAGCCAATATGTACACATTTGTGTCTATAACATTGCATGCAGTAATTTGTGATAATTCATTGATTTTTAGATAAAATACCTTTTGAACTTGACTGTATTTGTAGACTATCCAGGTTTGCGCTTACAAGCTGGGGATCTCCATAGACATGATCAGGGTGGTGGCCAATAACACTGTCACCAACGCCGGCAGTGTCACCACTGGGGGCAGCATCACCTCCGAACTCTGCTGTCAGGTGACTTAAAACAGCCAATAGAATCAAGTGTTATATAAATTGGCGTAGTGACCAGAACAATTGTGATAATTTGTGTGTGTGTGTGTGTGTCAAAAGTCAGAGTCATGTGATTATAAGCAGCCAATAGAATCATTGTCCGTCGTCGTCGTTCGTCGTCAACTTTTTCTTTAAAACCGATCTTCTCCTAAACGCCCAAAGAGGATTTCAACCAAATTTAGTCTGAAGCATCAATAGGGCAGGGCAATCATTTCCTAAATAAATGAGGTTGGTTCGACCCCTGGAGCCAGGGGGGCTGGGCCCTGAAGGGGAACTAGTTAAATTTGCTTTAAAACGCATCTCCTGCTTAACGCCATTTAGGATTTCATCCAAATTAAGTCTGAAGCATCACTAGGGATAGGCAATCATTTCTTAAATAAATGAGGTTGGTTCGACCCCTGAGGCCAGGGGGGCGGGGCCCTGAAGGGGAACTTATCTATATTTGCTTTAAAATGCATCTCCTCCTAAACGCCAGAGAAGATTTCAACCAAATTTGCTCTGAAACTTCATTGGGGGAGGGCAATCATTTCTTAAATAAATGAGACTGGTTCGAACCCTGGGGCTAGGAAGACGGACCCCAAAAAGGAAAATTATCTTATATTTTGCTTTAAGACCCTAATATCCCCTAATTGCCTGCAAACATTTCTTAATTGAATGAGGTTGATTTGACCCCTGCGGTCCTAAGAAATGATACAGCTAGATTATCATATTCTATGGTGTAGTTTTCATAACTTGTTAAAATTGGTTTCTAGGTTTATAAAAGCTTATAGTTGAATGAAAATTAAAGTATTGTCTAATCACACCCTGTAATATGACATATTACTTATTTCAAAATCTGTTAACATGGCAACTCAATGGAGGCCCCTGATTAGTTGAAAGTCAGATACTGTGGTCCCAGTTGGGTTAGAACATAGATCTTGTCTGGATTTGAGGAAATTTCATATAAAGATGTACTAATGCATTCAGTTGTAATGACTTAAATATAAAATCAGGTGAGCGATACAGGTCCAATGTTCCTCTTGTTAAATTAAAAAGGGCATTTGTGTTGGACCTGTCTACAGTATACCCAAAGTTATAAACTGACACATTTCTGTAGGTCGGTATAAACATGTGCATTGTTAAGGGTGTTGAAAAGGTCTGTATCAATTAAGTTGTAGCAAAATCCTTATCACATGTGTAAGTCATCATAAGATCACAGCTTAAAATGGCAGAAGACAGATAAAACTTTGTTCATGTGTATGACAAATGGATGAAGTACCATATACTGTAATAGTGGCTTAATTTTTGCAGGAGATATATTTAAGAAATATCAGACTATTAATTCAATTGATAATTACTATCAATATTAAAATAGCAAACTCTCAATTTTGAATTTATACTATTGCTATTACACTTGATTATATTTTTGGTCATTGGTCAAGGTTAAAGGGTCAAAGGTGATGAGTAGGATTAGGAGGAACAGGGGGTATATCTATGTGAGCCTCTGCTTACTTTGTTTTATTCCATAGAATAAAGTTAATACCTCACTGTTATAAAGTTAGTGATATAAGATGAGTTTGTGTTTCTTTAGTTGAGAATGAAATATGTTGATGACATACCGGTACAAGCTGCTTATAATAGATTTTGTGTAATCAGGCTATAGCAAACTGCTGTGACACATTACTGGCCAGGATTGCACCTGTCAAAGCCAAGATGCCAAACGCCAAGTGGAAAGACTTGATACAACAGTGTGCTTCTGACGGCATTGACCTCACAGCTAGATACTGGTAGGTAACCTCACAGCTAGATATGTGTAAATGACCTCACAGCTAGATACTGGTAAGTGACCTCACAGCTAGATATGTGTAAGTGACCTCACAGCTAGATATGTGTAAGTGACCTCACAGCTAGATACTGGTAACAAACCTCACAGCTAGATATGTGTAAGTGGCCTCACAGCTAGATACTGGTAAGTAATCTCACATCTAGATACTTGTAAGTGACCTCACAGCTAGATACTGGTAAGTAACCTCACAGCTAGATATGTGTAACTGACCTCACAGCTAGATACTGGTAAGTGACCTCACAGCTAGATATGTATAAGTGACCTCACAGCTAGATACTGGTAAGTGATCTCACAGCTAGGTACTGGTAAGTAACCTCACAGCTAGATACTTTTAAGTGATCTCACAGCCAGATACGTGTAAGTGACCTCACAGCTAGATATGTGTAAGGGACCTCACAGCTAGATACTGGTAAGTGATATCACAGCTAGATACTGGTAAGTAACCTCACAGCTAGATACTTTTAAGTGATCTCACAGCTAGATACGTGTAAGTGACCTCACAGCTAGATATGTGTAAGTGACCTCACAGCTAGATATGTGTAAGTGACCTCAAAGCTAGATACTGGTAAGTGAACTCACAGCTAGATACTGGTAAGTAACCTCACAGCTAGATACTGGTAAGTGATCTCACAGCTAGATACTGGTAAGTGATATCACAGCTAGATACTGGTAAGTGATCTCACATCTAGATACTGGTAAGTAACCTCACAGCTAGATATGTGTAAGTGACCTCACAGCTAGATATGTGTAAGTGACCTCACAGCTAGATACTGGTAAGTGACCTCACAGCTAGATACTGGTAAGTGATCTCACAGCTAGATACTGGTAAGTGATCTCACAGCTAGATACTGGTAAGTGACCTCACAGCTAGATACTGGTAAGTGACCTCACAGCTAGATACTGGTAAGTGACCTCACAGCTAGATACTGGTAAGTGACCTCACAGCTAGATACTGGTAAGTGACCTCACAGCTAGATACTGGTAAGTGACCTCACAGCTAGATACTGGTAAGTGACCTCACAGCTAGATACTGGTAAGTGACCTCACAGCTAGATACTGGTAAGTGACCTCACAGCTAGATACTGGTAAGTGACCTCACAGCTAGATACTGGTAAGTGACCTCACAGCTAGATACTGGTAAGTGACCTCACAGCTAGATACTGGTAAGTGACCTCACAGCTAGATACTGGTAAGTGACCTCACAGCTAGATACTGGTAAGTGACCTCACAGCTAGATACTGGTAAGTGACCTCACAGCTAGATACTGGTAAGTGACCTCACAGCTAGATACTGGTAAGTGACCTCACAGCTAGATACTGGTAAGTGATATCACAGCTAGCTACTGGTAAGTGACCTCACAGCTAGGTACTGGTAAGTGACCTCACAGCTAGATATGTGAAAGTGACCTCACGGCTAGGTACTGGTAAGTGATCTCACATCTAGATACTGGTAAGTGACCTCACAGCTAGATACTGGTAAGTGATCTCACAGCTAGATACTGGTAAGTGACCTCACAGCTAGATACTGGTAAGTGACCTCACAGCTAGATACTGGTAAGTGACCTCACAGCTAGATACTGGTAAGTGACCTCACAGCTAGATACTGGTAAGTGACCTCACAGCTAGATACTGGTAAGTGACCTCACAGCTAGATACTGGTAAGTGACCTCACAGCTAGATACTGGTAAGTGACCTCACAGCTAGATACTGGTAAGTGACCTCACAGCTAGATACTGGTAAGTGACCTCACAGCTAGATACTGGTAAGTGACCTCACAGCTAGATACTGGTAAGTGACCTCACAGCTAGATACTGGTAAGTGACCTCACAGCTAGATACTGGTAAGTGACCTCACAGCTAGATACTGGTAAGTGACCTCACAGCTAGATACTGGTAAGTGACCTCACAGCTAGATACTGGTAAGTGACCTCACAGCTAGATACTGGTAAGTGACCTCACAGCTAGATACTGGTAAGTGACCTCACAGCTAGATACTGGTAAGTGACCTCACAGCTAGATACTGGTAAGTGACCTCACAGCTAGATACTGGTAAGTGACCTCACAGCTAGATACTGGTAAGTGACCTCACAGCTAGATACTGGTAAGTGACCTCACAGCTAGATACTGGTAAGTGACCTCACAGCTAGATACTGGTAAGTGACCTCACAGCTAGATACTGGTAAGTGACCTCACAGCTAGATACTGGTAAGTGACCTCACAGCTAGATACTGGTAAGTGACCTCACAGCTAGATACTGGTAAGTGACCTCACAGCTAGATACTGGTAAGTGACCTCACAGCTAGATACTGGTAAGTGACCTCACAGCTAGATACTGGTAAGTGACCTCACAGCTAGATACTGGTAAGTGACCTCACAGCTAGATATGTGTAAGTGACCTCACAGCTAGATACTGGTAAGTGACCTCACAGCTAGATACTGGTAAGTGACCTCACAGCTAGATACTGGTAAGTGATATCACAGCTAGCTACTGGTAAGTGACCTCACAGCTAGGTACTGGTAAGTGACCTCACAGCTAGATATGTGAAAGTGACCTCACAGCTAGGTACTGGTAAGTGATCTCACAGCTAGATACTGGTAAGTGATCTCACAGCTAGATACTGGTAAGTGATATCACAGCTAGATACTGGTAAGTGATCTCACAGCTAGATACTGGTAAGTGACCTCACAGCTAGGTTCTGGTAAGTGAAATCACTGCCAGACAGTAATGCAGTTTAATCTGTTTCAATAAACAGTCTTAAGATTACTTCAGTTTCGAGTTATTTATCAAAGGTTTGTATATTTTCATTCCCCTCTTTCACCGAAACGGGGGATATTAACTTGGGTTTGTCTGTCTGTCCATCTGTCTGTCTGTCACGCTTCGTTTCCGTGCAATAACTACAACAAATATTAACTGATTTTATTCAAACTTCTTCAAACATGGTCACAGGGTTAAATGCCTTAATGGCTCGGCCAAGTTCGATGACCACTTTCAACGGACCCCATTTGGCGGAGTTATGGCCCCTTGAATAACGAAAAAACATAATTATCTGTTTGTTTTGTTTCTGTGCAATAACTACAACAAATGTTAACCGATCAAACTTGATTACATTTTGATAAAAATTGGTATATAGGGATATAACGGGACTGTGAATTCAACCGCATAGGTTTGTTGCCATAGCAACCACAAATAGGCTTCTGATTGGTCCTGCAGGTAGGGCGTAAGAATTGTACCTGCTGCCCCCAATTGCATGATCGTAAGAGGCGACTAAATTTGGGACCTTATCTCTTCTCTCCTTTCTAAATAACTTTCTTCTTCCTAATGTCTCCCTTGACAATGCCTCACTTTTGGCCATTTGTTGAGCGTTCGCCCATGTGAGGAAGGCTTTGGGTTCTGTCCCCTGGCCGAGACATACCAAAGTCTTTAAAAATGCCAGTTTCTACTCCTGCTGAACGCTCAGCAAATTAGGAGTGGGACGACTGGTTCGCCCGTTGCCAGTATAATGTGACCGGGTGGGGCGTCCTGCTGGGTGTCTTCGGCAGTATGTTTCAGTGAGGTAGCACTATAAAGTCGGCATCAGTTGCGCGCTATTACAAGAAGACAAACTCTAACATATCGAAGCCTCCCAAAATACACACACATTCACTACACGCATGCATCTTGCACACAGGGGGGGCTGTCCTTAAATGACCTTAGCTGTTAATAGGACGTTAAACAAAATCAAACAAACAAACAAACAAACTGATTGGTCGAAATTTAGATATTGTTCAATTTTAATGAAAATTGGTATATAGGGGTATTAGGGGACTGCGAATAAAACCGCATTAGTTTCGTTACCATAGCAACCAAACGAAGGCTTCTGATTGGTCAAAATTTAGATATTGTTCGATTTTGATAACAATTGGTATATAGGGGTATAAGGGGACTGCAAATAAAACCACATAAGTGTCGTTACCATAGCAACCACAAGGAGGATTTTGATTGGTTGCAATTTAGAAATTGCTCAATTTCACTCAAATTTAGTACCGGTATGTACATTGTAATTGTACTATGGGAACGCGATCCTTTTCTGATACATCTTAACGGCTATGGGGGCAGTTTGGTGGACATCTGTAAATGTCCACCATTACAATAAGTACGTGTTGCTGTAGATATTGTTAAGATGTTTCAACTAAATTCCTTTTGCACATCCAACTCATGCTAAGTTTGCTAACCGATGTGATTTGTGCATATTTACGGATAATCAATGAGGTATGGGGCTCTTTATTTTCTTCAGGTTTCAAGCTTTACATTATGTCTCAACAGCACGATACTCACATGTTTAAACCTAGCCTCAATAATGTTAACCTACAATATTTGGTTGCAAGCGGGGGACAGAAAATTCCATGAATTTTCTTTTTTTTTTTTTTTAAATACCTTCCACAATATTGTTATTTTTCAATCTTGCTTGGAATTTCTAGTTGGTTTTGAATCACTAAAAATCTTGTCAACCAAGTTAAGTGGGGTTAGGGAGGGGTATACTGGAAACAAAGTGTTCAGTGTTTGTCCCTCTGTCCGTCTCTAGATTGAAGTTTGTCCAGTGAAATAATGCATTATATTTAACTTCTCAATCAATTTTTCTTCATACACATGATTGACACAATAGGTTTTAAGCCCTGACAATATATCATGATGAGTATAATAATTTTTAGGACATCACCAACTCTGAACAAAGATGTTCGAGCAAAATACTTCAGCTATGGAGTAACCTGCTCTGAGATGGAGCTGGATGTGCTGACGGGTCAGTACCAGATATCACGGGTGGACCTTCTGTACGACTGTGGAGAGAGGTAAGATTGACCAGTGAACAACAGGGAACAAAACTTCTATACTCCCACACCTAGAGACACCATATCTTGTACACAGGTACTTCCCACACCTAGAGACACCATATATTGTACACAGGTACTTATCACACCTAGAGACACCATATATTGTACACAGGTACTTCCCACACCTAGAGACACCATATATTGTACACAGGTACTTCCCACACCTAGAGACACCATATATTGTACACAGGTACTTCCCACACCTAGAGACACCATATATTGTACACAGGTACTTCCCACACCTAGAGACACCATATATTGTACACAGGTACTTCCCACACCTAGAGACACCATATATTGTACACAGGTACTTCCCACACCTAGAGACACCATATATTGTACACAGGTACTTCCCACACCTAGAGACACCATATATTGTACACAGGTACTTCCCACACCTAGAGACACCATATATTGTACACAGGTACTTCCCACACCTAGAGACACCATATATTGTACACAGGTACTTCCCACACCTAGAGACACCATATATTGTACACAGGTACTTCCCACACCTAGAGACACCATATATTGTACACAGGTACTTCTCACACCTAGAGACACCATATATTGTACACAGGTACTTCCCACACCTAGAGACACTATGTATTGTACACAGGTACTTCCCACGCCTAGATACACCATATATTGTACACAGGTACTTCCCACACCTAAAGACACCATATATTGTACACAGGTACTTCCCACACCTAGATACACCATATCTTGTACACAGGTACTTCCCACGCCTAGATACACCATATCTTGCACACAGGTACTTCCCACACCTAGAGACACCATATATTGTACACAGGTACTTCCCACACCTAGAGACACCATATAATGTACACAGGTACTTCCCACACCTAGAGACACCATATATTGTACAAAGGTACTTCTCACACCTAGAGACACCATATATTGTACACAGGTACTTCCCACACCTAGAGACACCAGATATTGTACACAGGTATTTCCCACGCCTAGATACACCATATCTTGCACACAGGTACTTCCCACATTTAGAGACACCATATCTTGTACACAGGTACTTCCTAGACCAAAGGAATCCTGAATTATAAATAGCAGGCAACTTTAAAACTCACATTTACTTTTGACCAAAAACAGTGAGGATTTGTCGACTGCACAAATACTATCTGTACTATAACTACTAGGGACCAAAATCTGAGTACATGGAGATACTGCTTCACACTAATAGTATGATGTTTAGCTCTGATACAAAGAAAACTTAGAGAACAGCATATACATGGTTTACTGTCCCTTACTGCTGATAGGGAGCTAAAGATTGCCCCACTATACTTTTGCTTGCAATTGCAGTTTGAACCCTGAGATAGACATTGGACAGGTTGAAGGGGCCTTTGTGATGGGACTGGGGTACTGGCTTACTGAGGAACAAAAGGAGGACCCTACCACAGGAGTACTCCTCACCAACAACACCTGGGTAGGTACTTACTGAGGAACAAAAGGAGGACCCTACCACAGGGGTACTTCTCACCAACAACACCTAGGTAGGTACTTAGTGGGGAACTAAAGGATGACCCTACCACAGGAGTACTCCTTACCAACAACACCTGGGTAAGTACTTACTGAGGAACTAAAGGAGGACCCTACCACAGGAGTACTTCTCACCAACAACACCTGGGTAGGTACTTACTGAGGAACAAAAGGAGGATCCTACCACAGGGGTACTTCTCACCAACAACAGCTGGGTAGGTACTTAGTGGGGAACTAAAGGATGACCCTACCACAGGAGTACTTCTCACCAACAACACCTGGGTAGGTGCTTACTGGGGAACTAAAGGATGACCCTACCACAGGAGCACTCCACACCAACAACACCTGGGTAGGTACTTACTGAGGAACTAAAGGATGACCCTACCACAGAAGTACTCCTCATCAACAACACCTGGGTAGGTACTTACTGAGGAACTAAATGATGACCCTACCACAGGAGTACTTCTCACCAACAACACCTGGGTAGGTACCTACTGAGGAACTAAAGGATGACCCTCCCACAGGAGTACTTCTCACCGACAACACCTGGGTAGGTACTTACTGAGGAACTAAAGGATGACCCTACCACAGAAGTACTCCTCATCAACAACACCTTGGTAGGTACTTACTGAGCAACTAAAGGATGACCCTACCTCTCACCAACAACACCTTGGTGATGATTTGTGATTGAGGAACTAAATGATGACCCTCCCGCAGGAGTACTTCTCACCAACACCACCTGGGTAGGTACTTGCTGAGGAACTAAAGAATGACCCTACCACAGGGGTACTTCTCACCAACAACACCTTGGTGATGATTTGTGATTGAGGAACTAAATGATGACCCTCCCGCAGGAGTACTTCTCACCAACAAAACCTGGGTAGGTACCTACTGAGAAACTAAAGGATGACCCTTCCACAGGAGTACTTCTCACCGACAACACCTGGGTAGGTACTTTCTGAGGAACTAAAGGAGTACCCTACCACAGGAGTAATCCTCACCAACACCACCTGGGTAGGTACTTTCTGAGGAACTAAAGGATGAGCCTCCCACAGGAGTACTCCTCACCAACAACGCCTGGGTAGGTACTTACTGAGGCACTAAAGGATGACCCTACCATAGGGGTACTTCTCACCAACAAAACCTGGGTAGGTACCTACTGAGTAACTAAAGGATGACCCTCCCGCAGGAGTACTTCTCACCAACACCACCTGGGTAGGTACTTACTGACTACCACAGAAGTACTCCTCACCAACAACACATGGTTAGGTACTTACTGAGGAACAAAAGGAGGACCCTACCACAGGAGTAATCCTCACCAACAACACCTAGGTAGGTACTTAGTGGGGAACTAAAGGATGCCCCTACCACAGGAGTACTCCTAACCAACAACACCTGGGTAGGTACTTTCTGAGGAACTAAAGGAGTACCCTACCACAGGAGTACTCCGCATCAGCAACACCTGGGGAGGTACCTACTGAGGAACTAAAGGAGGACCCTACCACAGGAGTCCTCCTCACCAACAACACCTGGTTAGGTACTTACTGAGGAACTAAATGATGACCCTCCCACAGGAGTACTTCTCACCAACAACACCTGGGTAGGTACTTACTGAGGAACTAAATGATGACCCTCCCACAGGAGTACTCCTCACCAACAACACATGGTTAGGTACTTACTGAGGATCTAAAGGATGACCCTACCATAGGGGTACTTCTCACCAACAACACCTGGGTAGGTACTTACTGAGGATCTAATGGATGACCCTACCACAGGAGTATTTCTCACCAACAACACCTGGGTAGGTACTTACTGAGGGACTAAAGGATGACCCTACCACAGGAGTACTTCTCATCAACAACACCTGGGTAGGTACTTACTGAGGAACTAAAGGATGACCCTCCCACAGGAGCACTCCTCATCAACAACACCTGGGTAGGTACTTACTGGGGAACTAAAGGATGACCCTCCCACAGGAGAACTCCTCATCAACAACACCACAGGGGTACTTCTCATCAACAACATCTGGGTAGGGACTTACTGAGGAACTAAAGGCTGACCCTCCCACAGGAGCAATCCTCATCAACAACACCTGGGTAGGTACTTACTGGGGAACTAAAGGATTACTCTACCACAGGAGTACTCCTCCACAACAACACCTGGGTAGGTACCTACTGAGGAACTAAAGGATGCCCCTACCACAGGAGTACTTCTCTCCAACAACACCTGGGTAGGTGCTTACTGGGGAACTAAAGGATGTCCCTACCACAGGAGTACTCCTTACCAACAACACCTGGGTAAGTACTTACTGAGGAACTAAAGGAGGACCCTACCACAGGAGTACTTCTCATCAACAACATCTGGGTAGGTACTTACTGAGGAACTAAAGGATTACTCTACCACAGGAGTACTCCTCATCAACAACACCTGGGTAGGTACTTACTGAGGAACTAAAGGATGACCCTACCACGGGAGTACTCCTCACCAACAACACCTGGGTAGGAACTAAAGAATGACCCTACCACAGGAGTACTTCTCACCAACAACACCTGGGTAGGTACTTAGTGGGGAACTAAAGGATGACCCTACCACAGGAGTTCTCCTCACCAACAACACCTGGGTAGGTACCTACTGAGGAACTAAAGGATGACCCTACCACAGGGGTACTCCTCACCAACAACACCTGGGTAGGAACTAAAGAATGACCCTACCACAGGAGTACTTCTCACCAACAACACCTGGGTAGGTACTTAGTGGGGAACTAAAGGATGACCCTACCACAGGAGCACTCCTCACCAACAACACCTGGGGAGGTACTTACTGAGGGACTAATGGATGACCCTACCACAGGAGTACTCCTCACCAACAGCACCTGGGTAGGTACTTACTGAGGAACTAACGGATGACCCTACCACAGGAGTACTTCTCATCAACAACACCTGGGTAGGTACTTACTGAGAAACTAAAGGATGAGCCTACCACAGGAGTACTCCTCACCAACAACACCGGGGTAGGTACTTACTGAGGAACTAAAGGATGCCCCTACCACAGGGGTACTTCTCACCAACAACACCTGGTTAGGTACTTACTGAGGAACTAAAGGATGACGCTACCACAGGAGTACTCCTCACCAACAACACCGGGGTAGGTACTTACTGAGGAACTAAAGGATGCCCCTACCACAGGGGTACTTCTCACCAACAACACCTGGTTAGGTACTTACTGAGGAACTAAAGGATGACCCTACCACGGGAGTACTCCTCACCAACAACACCTGGGTAGGTACTTACTGAGGGACTAATGGATGACCCTACCACAGGAGTACTCCTCATCAGCAACACCTGGGTAGGTACTTACTGAGGGACTAATGGATGACTCTACCACAGGAGAACTTCTCACCAACAACACCTTGGTGATGATTTGTGATGGAAACAGTAGTTATCACACACACAAACTGACACACACAATCAAATCCCACACCAGCAATTCCACCTAAAGCACACCATCACCATCTCAAACTCCTATCGTCACCACCAGACCTCATTCCAAACCCCCATCCCAATTCACTGACATAAAGGTTCAGACATTCTACACTTTAAAGGGTTAGAACTAATTCACATTGCTGTAAATGTGTCAAGGTCAAGGTCATTGTGACTTTTATTGCATTTCCAACCTAACATTTAGTAGATATTCATTTACACTAATAATAATTTTTAACAATGTGTTTTCTGTTTCAGGAGTACAAACCTCCCCTAGGAAAGGACATTCCTATAGACTTCAGGGTACACCTCCTAAAGAATGCACCTAACCCATTAGGGGTTCTCAGATCAAAAGGTTTGTTTTATGCAAGTAGATTTCAGGATACACCTCCTAAAGAATGCACCTAACCCATTAGGGATTCTCAGATCTAAAGGTTTGTTTTATACAAGTAGATTTCAGGGTACACCTCCTAAAGAATGCACCTAACCCATTAGGGGTTCTCAGATCAAAAGGTTTGTTTTATACAAGTAGACTTCAGGGTGCACCTCCTAAAGAATGCACCTAACCCATTAGGGGTTCTCAGATCTAAAGGTTTGTTTTATACAAGTAGACTTCAGGGTGCACCTAAAGAATGCACCTAACCCATTAGGGGTTCTCAGATCTAAAGGTCATCCTCAGTAAGGAATCACAGGCTTATTTTTAAAATTGTCCTATTTTTGAAGCCATTTAACAATAAGCCAGATATGCCTTTTTCCTTTTGAAGTCTTTCACCTGGTGTTTAGCCACCTTTAGGATATCAAAATTTCATTTTATGAACTGTAAATTCCCCTATAATGTCAGTCGGTACAGTAAAATTATCTCAAGAATGAAATAATAAATTAACAATGAAAATTTTGTTCGCTTCACAATGAATGATGTCACATTGATTGTTCCTGTTCGATTGTGACGTCATTTCTGGAGTGATATTACACACTTTACATAAACATGATTTATGTGATGGCTTTATGACACTGCATAACACAGTATTTATATGATAAATTGATATATGTGCAGACAAGGGTAACACAATACACCTCTCACTACTTCGTGGTGGGGCATGAAAATTTACTGAAAACCGATATAAAAGGAAGTCGGTAACAAACACATACTCACTATAGATTTCACCTAACATTATTACAGGTGAGCACGCCCTGTGACTGTATTGGAATATTTAGATCATTTTGATCCCCACTAAATTGGGGAGGGGCATATGGTGCTGCCCATGTCAGTCCTGGTCCCTCATGGCTATTCATTGTCACAGCTCTTCTGGCTTTATTTCTTCACAGATTTTCATCAAAATTTGGATTTCAACTTACCACTGGCACAAACATAAGCTTAAGGGATTTATGGTTTTTTTTTCTTCAGGGAGTGGTGAGCCGGCTGACTGACAAACATGTTTATCTTTAAAAATATAAACTTTATTTGTTTTACAACAAGTATAAAATAAGTTATTTCAACTTACATTAATCACTCTTGGTGGCCCGGGAAATCGAACCCCAGCTGCCTTGGTGAAGGCAAGTGCGCTATCCACTGTGCCACCCAACCACCCATGTATATCATTATGTAAATCTTTGTTTAAAGACAAAATTGTATGTGGTTTTTTTCCAGCAAGTGGTGAGTCAGCCCTCGTACACACATGAATACTGTGGTATAAGGAATTTTATAACTTTTTTTAAATATCTTACAAAATCTTTCATGTTTTTTTCTAGCAAGTGGTGAGCCTCCCCTCTGTATGAGCTGTTCTGCCCTGTTTGCCCTCAAGCATGCAGCAGAGGCTGCCAGAGAAGAAATTGGACAGAACACATTCTTCCCACTAAGTAAGTCTCTAAAACTGTTTATAGTAAGTCTGGTTAAAACTACGACAGGACACATTCTTCCAATTCAGTAAGTCTCCTCAATGTAGATGCAAGAACAGTTTGATAGAACATCTTTTTCCCACTGTTAGAGCAGTAGGACAGAACACAAAGTCTCCTCAAAATGATGATGATGATGATGATTGAGGTAATGGCATCACAATGTTTGTGAGTGAGTGGACGTTTTTGTTGTTGTTGTTTTATATATCAATAAAACTTGTGAAAAATAAAAAAATAAATAAAAATAAAAAATTGACATTTTATAATAAAACCATATACACATGGTAAAAAAAAATAAAAATAAAAAAAAGTCTCCTCAAAATGCTTATGCTGGATTATATAGTAAGTCAGGTCAAAAATTGGACAGAACATCTTCTGGCTCAGTAAGTGTCTTCAGTGCTAGCACAACAAAATTCTTCTATCGTATTGTAACAGGAGAAGAAAAATGAACAGCCCGACCGGGGTTCGAACCCGTGACCCTCCGAACTCTAGATGGACGCTCGACCAATTGAGTTGCCGACAATCAACCCAGTCTAGTTCTGCTACAGGTTTTTTTTCACACCAAAACTTCAATAGTAAATCTCCTTAAGACAATCTGCAACAGTTATCAATAATGTCTCCTAATAGCCAGGACAGAAAACCATGAGATGAAAATGAAATAAATTTGAGTTTTCATTTTATTTTCAGATGGACCTGCAACAGTTATCAATAATGTCTCCTAATAGCCAGGACAGAAAACCATGAAATGAAAATGAAATAAATTTGAGTTTTCATTTTATTTTCAGATGGACCTGCAACAGTTGAGAAAATCAATGCAGCTTGTCTTCTGAATCCAGACCAGATGGTGCTCACTGCTTAGTGGTATAGTTTACTGGTCCATGTCAACCCGAATTGGGGCAAACATGATACTGCTACAATAACTTTTAAATACAATGTAGAGGGAAATAATCCTATAAATGGACTGTATAACCCTGTAAATCAGCTGTATGTGATATAACTACATATTTTGCAATTCAGTGCTAATTCGTCAAGATGACTGCAAACAAATGATACTTCCTTTGTGATGTTGACAGATATCAACTCTTGCGATAAAGTAAGCTTCTTGATTGTCCAGAAATTGGCAAAGTCTCATTCTGGACAAATAAAAAACTGACCTTCCAATTGAGATTTCTGTTTACAACACAGAGGAAAGACAGATCATCTTGTTTAAATTCAACTGATAAATATTCATGTGAAAATCAACTTCCCATGAAGTAATAACTATATAAACTTGACATTATGTGGAGTTGTTAACAGCAAATGAAAGTGACTTATGACACATTTGTTGTCAATATTTTGAGTCGTACTCCAAAGCACGGAATCTAAGTCCATATCCAAAGTAAGGAAAATTTAGGACTACCCGCTTGTTCATGTAACTGAAAACAGACCCTAAAAGGGTTATTCAGGTGCGGTACAGAATAACCCCAGAAATTCAATAAAACCTGTATTCATAAAGGAAACGTATATTTTCAATCTGAGTTCCCCACCAACAACAGCAGAAAATACCTCTGACATGTGATCCCCACCAACAACAGCAGAAGATACCTGTGACATGCGATCCCCACCAACAACAGCAGAAAATACCTCTGACATGTGATCCCCACCAACAACAGCAGAAAAGTTAGAGTCTGGGACATAAGCTAAAAAGAACTCAAAAGAGAATGCATGATGAACCCAAAGCCCGCTATATGTGTGTACGTCATCATCTTAAAGGAAAAGATAGAACATTCGCAAAAAATATGATGGTTGATATGTATTCATATGTGTGTGGACTAGTGATTTGGTCAATGAATATTATAGTTAATTGCGTGGCCACCTTAACAATATTCATTTAACTCTGTCTCAACAGCAGTAAGTATGTAACGGTTGATGTGAGGGAGAGTATATATGAAAATTGCATGCTACATAATAGAAGTAATACTTTATATTAAGATGATAAAGAAAACTTAAGTCATATATTGAGCAATCAAAATAAAATACTAAAAACTGACAAATCTGAAGAAGAAATATTACATTCCAGCTAAAATGATCGAAAGAAATGCTGTCAAATATACATGTCGCTGTGTTAGAAAAATAGGTTTTCAAACAAATTGTAACATACCAAGTAGATAGCATAGAGATATACAATATACAGATCTACATGATACTAGTACAAATATTTGTATACCAAATGTATATGTGATATGTGACAAAGTAATTAAGATAATGGTAAGTGGTATATACTTAAGAACACTTAAATTGGTGCTATGTGTTTTAACAACTGATGTATTTTTACAATTGTTAAGAGAATAAAAATATACCATTGATATATTAGTATGTAAAGATTGATGTGAAGTAGAATAATCAGGAGAATTGCTTACTGCATAGTAGAAGCAATACTTGGTGTTATGATGATAAAAAAAATTATAGTAATAAATTAAAAAAAATAAAATTTGATAATTGAAACATTTTTTATGTTGTCTTTGTGTTTTTAGCTCACCTGGCCCGAAGGGCCAAGTGAGCTTATGCTGTGGTGCCCGTCCGTCGCCCGTCGTCAATATTTTACTTTAAACAACTTCTTCTTAATAACCAAGAGGCATAGGGTGATGATATTTGGCCAGTAACGTGCTGGGATGAAGGGCTATCAAGTTTGTTTAAATGAATGACCTCGACTTATATTCAAGGTCACAGGGGTCAAATATGTTTAAAACCTTTGAATGACTTCTTCTTAATAAGCAAAGGGCGAGAGTGATGATATTTGGCCATTAACATGCTGGTATGAAGGGCTACCAAGTTTGTTCAAATGAATGACCTTCGCCCATACTCAAGGTTACAGTGGTCAATATATGTTTAAATCTTTAAATGATTTGTTCTGTATAACCAAAAGGTCCAGGGTAATGATATTTTGCTAGAAGCATGCTGGGTTTGAAGACTATAAACTCTGTTCAACCTAATGCCCTTGTTCAACATTCAAGGTCACAGGCGTCATATGTTTAAATCTTTTAATAAGTTTTTATGAATCAAACACTGATATTCTGCCTGTAGTTGTATTTTAGTCCACTTTTAAGATTAGGGTGAGATTAAAACCAGGTGAGCGATTCAGGCCCATTGGGCCTCTTGTTATTTTATTCTTGGTTTTTTTTCTGATAAAATCGTAGTGTTTTATCTTTAATTTACAATCACATGAAATGATAAATATTTGTAAGATTTTATTTGATGTCTGTAACTTTTGCATATAACTTCATATCAAGCACTTCTCAGATGATTGAATTTAATTAAATTATTTAATCATTTAATCAAAGACACAAGTATTATCTATCACTAAATGCAACATCTTAAAAATAACTGAAAACAAATATACCCGGTATTTAAAAAAAAACAATTATTGTGTGATTATACTTGAGGAAAACATTACATGAGTTATTCCCCTTGAATCCAGGTAACACATTGTCAACCTTCCGAATTCCATCAATTTCGAATATTGACCTATTATATATTCTGTCTTTGCGTATTGCAGAGTTATCTTCTCTTGGGAGCAGGTATTGTTACGTCACTTGTTTGTGAGAGTAACGTCATCAATTTTTGAGAAAACGACGTAATCTTTTAATGCATTGCTAACTTCTTGATATCAGACGGGAGATAATGAGCATTATTTTCAATAACATTTTTGTCAACATATAATTTAGGGTTTTCTCATTGTTGTTCATTGTCATTTTCATCAAAGCGTTGTTATCCTTGTTATGTAAAAATACATGGTGTGATGACAAAGGCAGCTGTAATATGATCAATATAAAATTAAATGAAAACATGTTTTCAATAGTTAAGATGTTTGCCCCAAATAATAAACATCATAGACATAGTTTCATGAATATTAAATCTAAAATAAAATAATTTAATAAAGGACGGGTAATGATCGGATGGGTTGTAATGATATATAAGTCAATATAGAGAACCAGTAAACAAAATACATACAGGTGCACATGGTCTTGGGATATTAATAATAAAAAATAGGCTAGTGGAGGTTAACAAATACTGATAAAAACAATTCACATGTCGAAGGGAAAATACAAACAGAGAAACAGGCAGAATTGATTATATTTACTAGTATCAAGAAAAATAACCCGAAAGAGAATAAAAATTGACATAAGCCCAGCGATGATAAGATAAACTGACCACCTAACAGTATAATTAATTCTAGACACTTCAAGCACATCCAGAGGAACAGGATATTGGAAATTTAATCAAATATTGCTAAAAATGATACTTATAATCAAGGTAGAGTATTATAGGATTTATAACAAATACGGGACAATAAACAAATAATAAAACTGCGGATATTAACAATAATAATATACAACATTAGATATAGCTCCCTATCTAGCTACTATAAACCACTCTAAAGAGCTTCACAGTACATAGATATACATTTAATACAATCAATACAATTAGCATACATATTAATCAATACAATTTTGAGGAATTTGCAGGAGATGCCTGATCAGGCGCTAACTACTAGTCCTATGCCACTTGGCTAATATCATATCTCCCTATGTGTGCTGGAGATGTATTGTGTTCTGTTTGTAGTGGGACCGTGTTTCCAACGGTATTATTTATAGTGCCATATCACTTGAATGCTACAGCACAGATACCACAACATCTACCCCAGACCATTTTATACTCCACCTGGGTTGTTGGAGTTGTTGCTTGGGATGTGTGCAAAAAACTGATAAAAGAAGAATCCGTATTGACAAAAGATACGAAAAAGGAAATTACAACAATAGAGAAGGTAATTAAGTAATTACACGAGTAATCATACAATTATACAATACCATGACAGAGCATAGGCTCTGGAAAATGTTTGTAATAAAATGTCATACGCGGCACAAATTAGATCAACAGTAGAATGACTAGAAGAAGGGGGGAAGAAGAGTTCCTTTCTGAAAACAAAAAGACAAAAATCAATCGTGAAATAATATACAAAAATGAAATTGTACTCGCAATACAAGAAGACATTTTTACCTGACTTAAACAATTCTACGGAAGACTAAATACAACAACCAAAATAGATCCGAGTGAAATAAAGGAATACAGATAATTAAATATTTGAATAAATATAAAAAAAAAAAGATGAAAGTAAAATATGGGATGTATTAATTGCGGCAAAAGAAGGTAAACAAGTTTTGAAAATAAGAAACGCAATAAATATCGAGGACAAGATGGACTAATAGTAGAGTTCTAATAGGAATTCTGGCCCACCTTGAAAATATGTTCATAAATTGTTTCAATTAAAGCTACAAATAGAATATACAAAATCGACAGAAGATTCTCTCTTTCATGTATAAAAAGGTGATCTTACAAAATGTAACTCGATTGATCTAATATCACATATAGATACAATAAGAATATACTGGGGAAAAAAGACTTGCATCGGATGAGGAAGCGTTATGAAAAGTCCATCCATTGAGACAAATATATGATTTAAGCCCAAATATATTAATATGTAAAACGAATTGGGATACATTTATTTCAACCAGTAATGAACTGTCACCCTTCTAATATGATATTGTATCAACCGGTATCAAATTAACAAAACAATCCCAAAGGAACTTGAATACACAGGAATATATTACAATGCTGGCCAGTCCCATCATCGGGTGGATGGTCCTCCGTAAGACGTTTCGGCGCTTATCCACGATATCCTCCAGAGGTGCGTCGACTGGGTTGATCAGACCCAGCCAGGGACTGGTCGGCTCTCGCTGCCATGGGTGGAATTACAGCTTGTTGTTGCATCCTCCTGCATCGTCCATCAAGTCTTGCCATGTCCCGTGCTGTGGCACCGTGTGACTAGCACTGTTGGTGGTGTCCACCCAACGTCTCTTCTCTCTTCCTCCATATCCAGTTGGATGCCATCTCTGCCTGCCTGCTCACAGCACTAACAAGCTTCTTCCTCTCTGTCCCTAGCATCCCAAGCAACCTCAACGCCCTCCATAGAGATTGGCCGGGGAAACCTCTGCACCAACCTCTACAGGCACCATACCTTCCAACCTCGTTGTTGGCAGTCCTCTACAAGTTGCTGGTACTTCGTCCTCTTCCGCTCTTGTGCCTCTTCTATCCTCTCCTCCCATGGAACCGTTAGTTCTACCATCACGACCTGCTTGGAGTTCCAGGACCACAACACATTGTCGAGTGGTGTAGCAGCTACCGCTGCTGGGAAGCCCATCCTCTGATTGATGTCTGTCCTCATTTCTCAGTCTTCTGCTGGTGCGAGTTTCCCGCCTCCCTCCGAGCTGCTCTTCCCATTGTTTCCTGCCTTCGTGAAGTTTTGTTCCTTGGGTATGAAGAAACCCTCTGTTGTGCTCCAGCTGTCTGCGAGTTTTCCCCTCCTCCAAACTACTCGAAGAAGTTCCACAGCCTCCGCAGTAACATAGGACAGTTCTTGTATTCCTTGTAGGGCACCCCGTTGGGTCCATGTTCTGACCCTGCCCTAGCTTTTCTGATGATCTTTTGTACTTCTCCAGAAATAAAGTGTAGGGTTAGGTCATCATGAAATGGAGTTTCTTTTTTGTATCAATCAGTTAATGCATACAAAAGTTACGGGGTGAAGTTGAAGAAAGGGTCATATATGGTAGTTTGTTTAGGTGATTACAGAAAAACTAAAGCTCAGATTTACAATACATTTATATGGTATATTTGTAAAATACTTAATTTTATAAAATATTTTTTTTACCCACTTTGAAAAATAGGTCACTACAGGGATGTGATCAGTTTAAGTCACATAACCGGGCAAAGAAGTAGGTCATATCTACGCACATTTCGTAAAATATATTAAACGGCTTATATTTAGTACAAATGAGTTTACACTATCTTTAACTTAACATTTCAATGACACTTGTAGTTTTGAAGATATTGCTATTCTAACTCATAAATATTATATACATGTTCTACCAAACAGCTACCTGAATACTTTGATAAGTTAACCAACACTGGTGTGTACAGTGAAGTTTACAATTCATGAAGTGATATTTTCTTCATTAGCATTGCAGCTCTATCGCTGTAGTTCTAAACATTTGAAATAACAAAAGCCAATTATAAATCCTTAATAAATGTGGACTGATAGGTAGACCACATTGCTGTACAGTACTCAAGTCTGCTTCGGACTAATGTGAAGTTTGCATGAACGTTTTAAAAACTCTAACACTTGCATAGATTTTGATGTTACTTTACTCAAATGAATATTACAACTTCAATCTGGAGATAACCATACACCCAAGTCTTTCACACATTGTTCATTGACCAAGATCCAACCTCCCGTACTGTAGTTGTAATTTGTTATAGTTTTGCTCGTAGAGAAATTCACATGGCAACACTTTTTTTCACATTCACCTTCATCCCCCAGTCTTTGCACCATTCATTCATTCTTTCAAAATCACACATCCATTGGATACAGTCTGATCGTTCTCTAACA